TTAGACGAGTTAGAGGCTTAGAGTAATTCGTTCGAGTGGGAGTGTTAAGATTCGGTGATTATAGTCAGCCGAATTACTGTGATTAGGGTTCGGCCCGAGTTAGGGTTTGGACTAGTGAACGCCGACGTGCGTGTACGGCGGTTGAACGGTTAAACCGTTAGGCGGTTTGGAGGTTAGGCGGTTGAGAGTGGCCGTCAGTGTTAGCCGTAGATGAGGATATCGACGGCTAAGATTGAGTGTGACTGTCAGCTAGGCTAGTGAGCCTAGTAGTGTGTGACTTAGGCCAGTGAGCCTAGTAGGCTAGTGAGCCTAGTTGAACGGGAGAGACCCGAAAAACATATTGTGGTGGAAACCACTATTGTGATACATCATTCTAAGAGAAGTTTGTGGAGAGAAGGAAGCCGCTTGTGAGGCGCTTCGGTGTTCCTCTTAGGATGCATGATTGCCATCAATGAGTGATGAGCATGGGTGCCGGGCAACACGATAAGACCCGATGACGAGTACCTCAACTACACTACGACTCCCTACCATGAGTTTCAACAACCCCTTTTGACCATGCGTATCCCGAGGGGTCTGTCCAAGCAGAAAAGATTGGATTATAGTCACAACTTGGAAGGCCGTATTCTTTGAAGTCGAACGACTTCCAGGACGAATGTCTTTCAATCTATAGTGTGTTGGCCGAAAGATATGGAATTGCAATTGAGGACCTAGTCTTAATCACATTGAAAGCACCCAGACGAGATGATTATTGGATATACACGGTCTGCAGTAATCGAGTCCCAACAACTTTTGTAATCCACTGTCTTTGTTGGCCGTCTCTAATGATCCAAGGTATTAGCAATTGTGCGTCTTGCGAAGTCGATCACTTCATGTTCTTGTAAGGGCACGGAACAAATGCACACGTAAACGGGACTTAATCCAATTGTGAAATAGATTTAGCGCTCGAAGTCCGCTCAAAACCCTATAAGCACTGGCGTCGCAAGCAGTTGCTATACCGATGGTTGTTGTTTGAATTGTGGACCATGTACGTTGCAGGTACGCTAGCCGGCTCACACTGGCATCTACTGAATGCATCAAAGTCAATCGTTCCGGTTTGATCCAAAGGCATGCAGCTTTAGTTCTTGTGAGCATAACTGGATGCTGCCGTCATGCTGCAATTATATCGATTTTTGATACAACATGATGACGGTCCCGGTGGTTGCCCCTTCGAAAGCGAGTCGTCTTCCAAGGTGCAGTAGGTACACACAAGCGTCTCCGAAACCAAAGAGTAGGCTAATTCAATTTTCTGTGCTGAGTTTCGGAAAAGGTGAAAGGTCGATTAAATAAACACGAACCCAGATCAGGGGAGCAGATCGGAGTAGGAATCTCCCCGGAGCACACATTGTTTCACTTTCCCGATCTCTATAATACATACAAAGGTGTCGCAGCCTCAAGTAACCCATTTTCCTCCCAGCCTATCACCGTTGGCTTGTCTCCAGAAGAGTCACCTCGACGACCCATGACGAGCGCGCGGCCTGTCCCTGCTGGCCGCTATGCCTGGCTGTGGCCCGGCGGTGCGCCTGTTTCCAGGTCCTCGTCGCCGCGCTGCGTGCGAGAGTAGCCGGACCCGTCTTGGTTCTCGCGAGGAGGCCCGCAGAGGGCCCACCCGACCAGAGCAGCAGAGCGAGGCAACCCCCGACGCCGCCGCCAAAGATAGCCATACTGCCCGTCATGACCATGCACATGTCCACCCAAATTAGGAACGCCGACTCTGGGCGCTGGAACGAGATCACGGGCAGGCGCACCCCGTAAGGCTCCCCCATCCGCGGGCAGTTGTTGGGTAAGCCCACATAGAAGGTGATGTTGGGCGTGGCGCACAGCGTGAGAGCAAGGCTCGCGTTTCTGCCAGCTAGAAACTGGTTGAGGCCCTCCGCGGGGTCGGAAGACCCACCGGGCCGAGCCGCACGAGGTGGGTGGCAGGGACCAACTGCGGCATGGCCGCCGGGGTGCCGACCGCAGCTTGCGCCAGCAGCAGGCAGCAGGCGCCCACCTGGTGCCACAGAGGCGGGCCGCCAGGGGGAGGCGCACTACCAGACGGGCCAGCCTCCACCTCCAAACCGTGAGCCGAGCCGGTGGGAGGCCCCTCCTGTGCCGACGTGGCCTCGCATTGCGAAGTGGGGTTTGACGTGTGCGGCTCCTCGTCAGCGTCCCCTTCGGCTTCCGCAATGAGGATGTCCTTCATGTTGGGGGCAAGGGGAAGGCAGCAGAGCGACACGAAGCCAACGGCGAAGAGCGGGGGTCCCGGGAACAGGCTGACAAAGACGAAGAGGGTCAGAGCCTTGTACTTGACGAACTTGCATCGTGTTTAGGCGCACAGCGGTGACATTGGGTGGCGGGTACCCGGCGCACGAGGCGTTGGGTGCCTGCGCCTGGTACAGCTGGGACGCGGGGCCGCGCCCGTTTGCGAGTCGCACCGGACCACCTGGAGCGGCCGCCGTGCTTCCGGTGCGAAGCCTGGGGGTTGCTCAGGTTGGTGCTTCGCAGGAACGCGTTCACCAGGGCGGGGTCATGCAGGGACAGGCCCGGCACCAGGGCGGCTCCCGCGACGCAGCTTAAGCTGGTCACGGCGAGCGAGACGAGGAGAGTGAGGGAGAACAGCGCGACTCGAGACGCCATTCTCAGGCAGCGCCCGCGGTTATAAATCGATACAACCCCTCAAAACGTCCTGCAACTGCTTCAAACTTTTGCGGGCCCTTCGAGCTCCAACAGAGAGCGCTTGTCTTTGTTCATAAGGTGACAAGGTAACGCAATTGGAACACACAGTGCTGCAAGCGCCTCCAAGTGCCGCCCAGGTTTTGAACAAAGCCGTGTCGCTCTGTCTTCCGCAGAAGCTATCGGCAGGTCATCGAGATTCGGCGACCTGAGTCAGGATCCACAGGGTAAAGATACCTTCCTTTTCAAGCTCGCGGCCGCACGGATTTGTGTTCTCCAAAACCCTCCGGTTAAGTGCACGCGGCCGCGCGATCAACCTGGCCGAAGTACACTGTTTGAGGTGCCGGCCATGAATCAACCTTGGCCTTCAGATAGTTGCAATCAGAGTCAGGATTGTATACATTGGATGGCGCTGTTCCTCTCTGTTTGATCATGTTCGGAGCATGGTACACGGCATTTAAATGTCTCGTGCACGTGCACGTGCGCATCTCGACTTAAGCTTGATTAATCAACAGCTTGTCGATCGAAAATTCATTGATTAGGACGTCCACCTGAGGTCGGAGATGGCTTAGGCTTGTGCAACCGTCAGCGTGACAAGGCTGGCAATGCGGTTTGCCGTCGTATCAGATCTTGACCAGGCACTTCAGCTATAGAGCGCTTATTGCCGGCCGAAGAGCCACGTGGGCGACCTTGGATTCATTAGCCCGTTGATGCCAATTGGCCTCCTATGGGCACATGGACATGAGGACTTAAAACAACGCATAACGTGCTTTTCGAATCTACGCCTGCGCCAGGCCGATTATTGACAAAATCGGAAGTATCGTTACCATGGTGAGAACCGCGAGTATGATTAACTTTCTGCATTCATTGCTGCGGCCGGAACCTGCATGGGTATCACTTTTCCCCCACATGCTTCGAGAGGTTTGACTCAAGTACGTGCAGGTTCTGCATGCGAGATGACATTATGATCAGTATCTACACTTTCCCTTTGAAATTTTCGAGCTGCAAAGGAATCAACTGCAAGCCGCGCTTGGGCGAGAAACCAACATGGTTCGCCCGGAGCGTTGCAACGGGTTTTTTTGGAGGTCAAATGCAATCATATGACTGTTAAGAAATTATCCATCATATAACATGGTTCATATACGTCTTTAAGATTCTGGAATTGAGGCTCGGCTGTTCGATCCAGGAGCGCTCGCTGAGGCTAGCTTGCCGCTATATACAACAATCGAATCTTGAGGAGACCTGGCCAACTTTTAGGGGCTCGCTGGAGGCACTTCGTATCTACAGACGCAATCAAAGATGTTGCCTCCAACCAGCCGCTCCGCCAACCGCTGGTTCTTGATCATTGCCAACTGCACAGGGAACTTCTTTGTAAGGTCCATGAGGAGCGTGCAGTATGGTTGCCAGATATGTGGCAGATATGTGGCCACAACCAGCGAAAGACCTCGAAGCCCTTATGTGATGCCAACCATGTAACATCGAGCATTGTGCAATACTATAGATGATGACACAAGTCCACGCCTCTGCCCTTTAGCCGCTGGGTATCAATCGAGCAGTGCATGCACTGAGGGTAAAACGCCCTTCTTGCGATGAAGCGTTCGTGGGGCCACACAGGTTGTGGTGCAGCGGCCCTCACCTTGACGACCTCGCACTTGAAGCGCGTGTTGAAGTTGGTATGCAGCGCGCGGCCCATCCCCTCCAGCACCAGCAGGTCCGCCCCCTCCGCCGCCGCCGCCAGCTCCGCGCTCACGCGCCGGAAGTCGATGCACGGACTGCCGTGCCCATTGCCCACCACCCACAGCCGTGCCGGGCCAGACCCGCCCTCGCTGCCACTCGCGGCATTGCCCGCGGCCCGCCTCGCTTCCGCCCCAGCCTCCAGCGCCGACCGCAGGAGCTCATCGTGCTGCAAAGCACAACGGAACAGCGTGACGAACCAATGCCCCGGACTGTTATTTTGTTGCGTGCCTTCATAGTGCTGGCTTTGCGAATCGCTTCAAACCCGCTGGCAGCGTTTGTTGCCCTCTCTTTGCTATGTCATCGTACATACTATTCGCAGCGGCAGTGGGTTGCTGACCTGCGCTGCGGCGTCCAGGACGTGCTCCAGCTCGGGCTGCGTGATGTCGTTGATGGCGGGCTGGCTGTTGGCCACCATGGCCACGGCTGTGCCGCGCCGCAGCAGCTCGCGCGCCAGCGGAATCATGCCCAGCACCGCGTCCGCACCGCTGTTGTCCACGAACAGCAACGCGCGCGCGTGGGGCCGGGGCGCTGGGCGGGCCAGGGAGGGGCGGGGTGAGAGACAGGTGGGCAAAAGGAGGGGGCTGAGAGGAGAGATGCGACAACATGACGTACGAGATTCCAATTGGGAAGAAGAGCAGCATGCAAAGAGCTAACGGCGACGATGTTGTCAATGGACCAAATGCTGCGGATTAAGGTCAGCGGCAACAAGCTGCAGCACCAGGCTTATAGCATGAAACAGTTGTGCAGAATAGAAGTCACGCGCAGCCTGGCTACCGCAAGCGGGGGGGTAAAGGTGGGGCTACTCACGGGGGCCCGTGCCGTCCCCTAGAAAGCGCTGCTTCAACGCGTCAAAGTCATCGACCTGCGGAAGGCGATACCGACAACGTTAAGAGCTGCGGGCAAGGGGTAACAAGGCCGGCACCCATGCCACAGTACTGACAGTAATTCCTCGGCTCGACAGCAAGAGAAGCACGATCGTGCCGCACGGGACGAATTGGCGCGGCGGCTCGCCTTCCATGGGCGCTTGAGCTTGTTGCGGCTCATGCGGTAGATGTCCAGGATGGTCCCGCTCTGGTACAGCTCCACGCACGCCGCGCTGCCCCAGTCGAAGATGTTGCCCGCCAGCACGCCCTCCACCAGAGCCGTCAGCCGCAAGTCCTGCGGTCACCACACCCACATTAGCACCGCGTAAGCGCCCGCGCCGGAAGCAGCAGCCGGGGCTGGGTCGGTGGGCAGGTCCTGAAACAAATTGCGGGCCCGAGCAGTCAGCGGCAGGGTGCGGTGCGAGGGCGGCGGGCTCACGGGCGTCATGGCGTCCAGCTCGGCGAGCAGGTCCGGCAGCACCGCCAAAGAAGCCTCGTTCTCCCTGCACCGCGCCACGCAGGCAGGGGGTGAGAAGCAGCGGGCACAGCAAGCACGGGGCCAGCAAGACATTCAAAGGTGGCGGCCATTGAGTCGAGGCGCAGAGTCCAGAATCTGCATTTGTGTGGGCACTGGCATCGCCTCCAAGTGAATACGACCCAGCCCGGCATCCGCTTGTTGCAGCTCAGGAGCCGGGCGGCGGCGGGGCAGGTGGTGCAGCGGCTGACCTCTCCTTGACGGTGCGGTAGGCGTCGCGGAAGCTGAACTCGCGCAGGCAGTCCTCGCGCATGTCCAGCAGGTTGGCCAGCCCCAGCTGCCCGTACGCAGCAGGCTCCGCGCGCAGCCTGCCACACAACAACCGCCACGTCGTTAGGAAGGCGAAATCTGGCACCAGTACACAGCCAAGTGGAGGCCGCAAAGGGTTGCAGGGGAGGAACTCTCCGATCCCGACACAGTGGCTCAAGCCAATCGAGCTAGCCCTGCCGAACTAGGAGAACGCGGGTAATCGTCTAGGTGCACGAAAGTGCGTTTGAAAGTTCAAGCGCATGACGCGTTTGCTGAATGGCTCTTGAGTCCCGGCCGTAAGAGCAGGGAGAGGATGCGGCGCTGACTTGGCGAGGTGCGCCTGGAAGGCGAGCGCGAAGGCGTGGCCGCGGCGCTGCGCGTCGTCGGTGCTGCCCTCGCTGGCGACGGCCTTCTCCACTACGCCAGGGATGTGCGCCTCCAGGATGCGCAGCCAGTACCTGTGCGCGCATACACCGAGAATCATGTACAGCCATGCATGGGGCTCTGCTGCGCCTCCGCCCTTTCGTCTGCGGAGCTAGAGAAGGGGCGGTCAACCGCCGGAGGGTTTGACTCAGTCAGCATGACGTCGACAATACCGCAAAGAACGTGCAACGTGATGTAAGTGCGCAGTGGCCGGGGCTCACTCTCGTTCTTCGGGATCCGCCATGTCAAAGGTGTTGGGCTCGTAGCTACTGCAGGGGATAGGCAAGCAGCGCGCGGGTCAGCAGACAGCCTGCTGCCGGCAAGGACGGAGGAGAGTCCTATCCTGGGGTCAGATCTCGGGGCAATCTAGGCAGCACGCCCGACGTCGTGAGCCCCGCTAGGAAGTTGCATGATTGAACAGAGTGTTTGAAACAGTCCGGACTGCTTGGTGGCGATGGCGGTCAGCTGAAGCAGTGCGCCAGTGCCTGGGGCGGTTCTCGGCAGCAGCGCTCACGCTTGGCGTTCGTCGAGGAGGGGGAAGGGCTCGAGCGAGGGGTAGAGGTGCAGGACGCCGACGTGCAGGCTGGGCCCCGACGCGGTGCGCGCCAGGTCGGGTGGCGGCTGCGACGTTGGGGTGGGCGCCGTGATGCCGCTGCCCGTGCGCACGAACTTCTCCATCCACGTGATCTGCCCGCCGCACGGATCGGTATCATACAAGAAGAGAAGGCACAATAGCAAACCGATCTGCAGCAGACCCTCTCCACCTGCCCATCGGCTGGGCTTCACAATCTTGCCATGATCCCGACACTTTTTGGACCACTTGTATTCTGAAGCGTCCTACTCCCAGAGCGCGTATCAGCCCTCCAGCCGCATATCTCGCGCGACCGCCCAGAAAAAGCCGACGGAAGTCGGAGTTGCTAGGGAACTGACCCTCACCTTTTCGTTGAGGTCCTTGATGGGCGGCCCGTGCACCTCGCCGCCCGCGAAGGGCGCGCCCATGGGGAAGCGCTCCACGAACTGGCTGCTGGTGCTGCCCTGCAGCAGCGGGCCCGCCTCGTCGTTGTAGCTCAGGAACGCGCCCAGCGCGCCCAGGAACCCCTCGTGCCGCAGAAACATCGCGCGCATCGCGCCCTTGGACCTGCAGCGGAAAGGGCCGAGCCACTGCGACGACAGCACGCGGAAGTTCGTGGCAGGGCGCAGAGTCGGATCTGCATTGTGCATGTGCTGCTCTCACGTGACACGCAGCCTTGGCAACGTCAGCCGAGGCGCTGCGGCGCGCGAAGATGTACAGGGATGCACCCGAGAGTGGCGCTCACCAGAAGTTGATGGCGAAGGCGATGATGTCCATGGTGATGTCGTGGCCGCGGATGAAGAAGCCGCCGAAGAAAATGCGCTTCAGGCCGTACCGCATCGCGTTCAGCACCGAGATCTAGGCGGACACGAGCAGCACACGCGGTGGGCGGTCTAGGGACAGGGCGACAAAAAATAACGCTGGTCGCAAGTCTTCCTTTTGCAACAAACTGGAAATAGATCCGAAGCAAGGGACGAAGGTGGCGGACAGCAAGTGGCAAAGCAAGCTCAGGAGCGGGCTGCTTCATCCGGACTGTTTCGACGGATCGGGCATGTCCGTGGCTGCATATCCATTCGTAGTTCACCTGTCCGATGTTGTACGAGACCATGCGCACGAGCGACAGCGCGATGTCCTCGGGGCGGTAGTCCTCCAGGCCCTTGTCCTGTGACACCACCTTGCCGAAACTGCTCGCGATCGTGCTCGCGGACAGCCCAATCTGCGCGTGCATACACGGCCACCCGCGTGAGCAGCAAAGGGACCCGGCTCTGCCCAGCCGCCCCGGCATGCTCGGAAAACCCGGGCAGTCTGGCCTATCAAACCGCTGTTCAGGTGCCATGTGAACCGATCCGAACCAAGCGAGACAATCGAGTAGCGTGACAAGCGGCGCCGGCTAGCCCATAATGATCAATAAGAATCAATAAGGGCGGGGCGCAGTGCACGGCCCCCGTGGTCAGTTCGGGCGCACCTTGCTGTAGTCCATGCCGCCGTAGATGTCCCCCACTAGCATGTCCACAGCACTGTTGTCGCCGCGCCGCGTCATCTCCAGGATCTCGTCAAAGCTGCACACATAGCGCGCGACGTCAGTCCTCATGCTCGGACCACACCGCCCTCCTGATATGGTGCTGAGAGTATCAGCATGCGACTTGTGCGGAACGGCACTAGCTGTCTTCATAAGCGTATCATCTGTCAGATGCTGCACTGGGCGGCAAAGCGGAGAGGGGGAAAAGACCGTTATTTCGATAATTGAGCGACCACAATGTTGGACATGCCCTGCCAACGATCTGGGATAGCCTCGAGTGATCGATCGGGATCGCACCGGAAGGACTAGAGCTAGACAAGGAAGTACGACGAGCGGCGCAGATGATCGAGCACGGACCTGGAGCACTTGGTGAGGAGGCGGCCGAGCCCCCAGAAGGTGCCGCCCCCCAGGTTGGTGCCGCTTACGCGCTCAAAGGAGCTGTCCTCGTTCACCTGCACGCCCACCCACGTACAGCCTCAGCCGGCGGTGCACACACGCTGGCGCGCAGGTGCCAGTCTCTGCAGCACGATTGGGAGGACGCCAACGGCGACCTTATGAGCCAAGGCACAAACGCGTTGCCCGAAAGTGGCAGGTTTGATGCGTGGTGTGGGACTCGGATGTTCTAGACAAGTGTCTCTGGGAACCACCTTCGAGCCCCTTGTAGAGCGACTTCTACCTTCTACCTATTCTAGAAACCAGCTCCCCGTTGACAGGCACCTTGATACAGGGTTTGATTCAGAAGTGTGTTGAGGGAAGGCACTTTGAAAATAGTAATTTCTGACGAAATCGAACCAAGACCTCGAACGCCCCCGCCCACGGAGGGGCCAGGATACGGTCGTGTGCGCACCTTGATCATGCTGACGCCGGAGCCGATGTTGACGAGCAGGTACGGGAAGAGGTCGCTGGGCTGCGAGAAGTGCACGAACTGCTTCCGGCCGTCCATGTGCGTGTACGCCTCGTCGCGCACCGCCTGCACGCGGGATTCGGGTCAGCCAAGCGGGCACCTGCGCCTGTGAACGTTGTGGGCCCACTTTTAAGTCGTCGTCCTTCGAGCTTGGTCCAGCTTCAAAAAAGCAGCCGGGCGATGTTTGCTCATAACATAACGCGCTCAGCATTCCCTGCTTCACGAGCACCCCACATTGTTGTTCGTTCAACGCGCACCGATCCCGCATTCATGACTCGGCCATGGATTCTTTCATAAGCTGTGCGGTTCCCCCTGCAGTTCCCCGCTGGCGTGCTGGGGGTGGTGTGCAGAGGCTTGCCTTGAGCAGGAAGTTGGCCCCCGCCACGAGGCACTCCATCTCGTCCTCCTTCTCCAGCGTGATGCCCATCCGCTCCTTGAACACGTCAGCGTACTTGAACGCACCCCCGCCCGTCGCCTGCCACACACAGACGATCAACATGTGGCGCGATCAAGACCTCGACGCCCTTGCCCGGACTTCCTTTTCAAGCGCACTCAACGGCAAAGATGACTGAGCTTCGAAAGAGACAGGTCATTACACCAGCGATGCCGCACTGCTGACAGCTGGGCCTGGCCTGCCAGGGTGGCGGCATGAGTGCCCACCTTGATGGTGACGTCCTTGGCTGCGCCGTAGCCCCACACCGTGTCCTCCTGCCCCTCCAGCCCCATGGCACTGTTGACAAACGACACAAAATGCATGATCATGGGAATTGCCAAATTACATTTTCGGGGACGCTTCGACAAAAGGCAATCAGTGCGTCTCATGATCCTTCATCCCGAGCGCTGAGCCCGGGCTTTCAATTGACCATATAAAAGAACGCTGTCCTAGATGCGGTGGCTCACTTGTAATAGTGCAGCTTCTTCTGTTCGATGAACTCCAGGCACTCTGCACAAAAACAGAAGCCTCTTTGAGATGGAGGCCGAAAATCAAGTGAGGATGTAGAGCTGAATTGCTGAACACACCAGTGGAGAGGAAGCGTCCCAAGCAATATCTGGCACCGCTAGTTGCAGCTTGTGTCTCCTTGGAGGGGTGATCCTGTTTGACAGGCTCCCTCTGACCCGGCATAGGAGATCTGCCCTCAGCATGTCTCACCGCTCAACTTGGCAGTCTCAAACTTGACGAAGTGGAGGCGGCCGCCTTTGCGCAGAGCGGCGCGCAGCGAGGGCCAGCTGCTGAGGCGGGGGGAGGAGACAGCAGCCTTGGAAGTGCCGGCGCCCTCATGGCTGCTGGCGCGCTCTGCAAGGGCCAGTTTCACGTGGGGGTGCGTACACCACACAATGGCTCACACAAGGTTTTCAAGAATTAACAGACTGCATCAACGGCAGGCCTACTGATTAGACGCACTTATCAAACGGGGCCTACTGGCGAGATCAGGAAGCACACAGGCAGCATACCTTGGAGAGCATCGGGGGCTTGAGGGGGCGTTGGGGGGCGTGTTTGCCCCTTGCTTCGGTCCAGCGGAGGTGTGGAGTCGGGGTGCTTGGAGAAGTAGACCAGCTTGATGAGAGAGCCTGACATCACAAGGAGCGCAAGTCAGCGGGGCCTGTGCCTCCAAGTAAAACTCATATTTTGAAGGATTGACCTCTCAATCAATCTCATTAGCTGCCAGAAACAGCGAGGGCCCCTTTTCAGCACCATCACAATGCATCTATCGCCAGACATGGGGCATATCACACCCAGCACCACTGGTTTTCAGCCGGATGAACACATTGTAAACTTTGTCTAACGTGACGCGGCTGCAATACATTTTGATCGCCTCTGTACGATTCAAGGGCCCACAGGTTCGATGTGCCAACAAGACCGGCGTCTGTGCCTACCTCCAATGTCGATTGCAAAGTGGCTGACGTCTTGCTGCTGGTTGGGCAGCAGGATGCTGGGGTGCTTCTCCTCCTCGGGCCCATGGATGGCGGCCCCGCTCAGGTTGAGCACCGGGCGAGGGGAAGGGCGCGACATGGGGCACCGAGCAGCAGCACAACCCCACAATGCTGCGCAACTCGGGGCTGCTAGAGCATAGATGAACTCATCCCAGTTGATGCGCAGAGTTCAATGCTGGTGGCTTTGAACCTATTGCTATGTCCCTCCTAGAGAACAATGAAACTTCGTCAGTACCGTATACCTACGAGACTAGCGAGCTCTAGTCCTCTAGTACCGGTAGGTACTGCTACCGTAGCCTGTACCTAGTAGCCTAGGACCACTGCCCAACTCGCATTGAATGGTGGCTTAGCTCTTGAGTAAATTCAGGAATGCAGCTATCAAGCTTCTTGAATCTGATGCATGAATGAATGATTGATGGAACGAATGGAAGCATAAGACGAGAATGCGTTCAAGCAAGCACCCTCTTTGAGTATGCTTTTATACTGGAAGCAAGATTCTGCAGATTGTGGCGATAAGAGGGGCAGACAACTGGAAAAACCTATGCATGTGCCACGCGTGCAATGGTGTGTTTGCAAGCACTATGCGACTAGAGCGACTTTGTCGTGCACTGTCTATCATGGCCAACCGATGGGGCAAGTCCTCATATCTAGCTCAAGCTAGGTTCCATTTGGTGATGAGCAGGGTTTTGGCACCCGGCAGGCTTTAACCTGTGATGCGCGTGCCCCAATTGCATCATCGTGTTGGGAACCGAGCACCGTCACTTTACCATTTCCGCATGTAGGCGGGGTCATGTCAATCTGCTGCACTTCAAGCTTTACTAACTAGACAGTGTGTACACATGAGAGGCCAACAAACTTGACTGGAGTTCGCTATGGTGTCAATGGGATTGTTGTGAGAAGACTTGTTTTCTTCTCGAAGATGAGACTAAAGGCCTTGTCTTTGCTTTTGCAGATCCAACAGAGTGATCAATTGTACTTGATTGTAAAAGTTTGACTTGATTGGACAAACGCCTGGAGTAAGTGTGCATCTCCAAGCGCTACATTGAAGGGCGCTGAAAGTCCAGACTCCCAACTTGTCTAAGTAGAACGTACCTGAACCGCACTTCAATTGTCTCTGTATGTATAGTAGGAAAGTGCAACCGCTAAGTCCGCCATCTTTGCATTGCTTCTATCTTCAGCACTGCGAGCACTTCAAGTCCTCTTCTGCTTAAAAGTTTGTAGAATCAAAAAGTGGTCGACTCGACTCCGTGCTATCCTGGCACAGTTGAGCACTTGCACTGTCGTCGCGAAGTCTGAGGAGTGAGACCAGCAGGCACTCGGCCGACATCTGGCTGTCCCAACAGCGACACTGCTTGCAACTTAGCAAAAAGCGGGTCTTCTGTTTGTTTGGAGGATATGCTGAAAGAGCTGGTGGACTAACGGACCCGTCGTTGCCTTACGCTCGGCCCTTTGTCAACAGCTTCTTGCCGCATCATGGCAACAAACTCCTCGTAATCAATCTTGCCGTCCTGCACAGCAGAGAGCCTCGGTTGCATCACACAGCAGACTCAACACGGAAGTTTCTGGGAACGACATGGCTCCCAGCATCCAACAACGGGTTTGCCCAAAAAGCCCCTCCGGTCCTATGCCAAGGGGGCACGACCACAACGAAGTCTCAGTCTCTTCAAAGCGTCTAATCGGACGATACAGACGCCCAATGTCGGAGGATGCGGGAATGGTCACAAGAGTTACCTCAAGTGCAATGCACCAGAAAGGGCACGGACACAAGCAGCAGAATGCCAACGTGCACTGCCATTAGGCAGTGCGCAGTGTTTGTGCTCACGTTGTTGGTGTCGATCTCCTTGACGATGTCAGCCACCTTCTCGTGATCCGCCATGCCGTTCCTCACCAGGACCGCCTCCAACTCGTCCACCGTAATCTCGCCGTCCCCGTCCGCGTCAATGGCTGCACCCGCAAAAAGCCGGTTAGGTTAAACTAACCGGATTCACAAGAAACAGTGCCACAATGAGGTCACCCCTCGTGCACTTGGACAAGTACCCTTGAGTACCCACAATCTCAGAAGCACAGCGCTAGGTGACTTTCTAGCCGGAATGTCTTTATGGGCGCGCCAGCAACGAGAGATGACGGGAAGGGGACAGGGTGCGGGGTGCTCACCAGCGAACGCCGCAACCAGCTTGTCATCTTCGATCGCTTTTGATGCTGCCATGGTGGCCGCCACAAACTCCTGGTAATCCAGCGTTCCGCTGTTGTCCGCATCCGCCTGCATCACACCACGCGCGCTCAGCACAGCGTGGCGGCCTGAACCGGCGAACCCTCATGTTCAACAACGACAAGGGCGCCCAAAAGTGTCCTCGCATGACTGAAGTGGCTCCACTATGGGGATGTATCAAGTAATCTCGTTACTCGTTTGCAATCGAAGTCAGAGAACGGCAGGATGGCTGACATTGCCTTCAGCTCCTTTCCACAAGATACAAATCTCTGGTACAGCACACCATCCACCATCGTCCCACAAGAGGCTCTGCATGCCAAGGGCCAGCCGGCTCGCTGTGCCTTGTTCGGCAGTCAGAGCGCGCCGGGCGCGGGTGGCTCACCGCCTCCATGAGCTTGCGGACCTCCTCCTCGGCGAGGTTGCTGCCCAGCTTCTTGAGGCCCGTCTTGAGCTCCTCGAACGTGATGGCCCCGCTGTTGTCCGTGTCCAGGCTCTGGAACATGGCGCGCAGCCCGCTGATCTCCTCCTCCGACAACGAGTTCGCAATGATCTGCACCAATCGCAATGCGTCACTGCTACTCGCCAAGTAAACAGCCGCCGACTGAGCCGCGTGGTATGGTCGTCGAGCTGTTCAAGAGGCCAATGAAAAGTGGATTCTAGCCTACATCGCTGCAAACCGCATGCCAAAGTTGTCTGCATCAGAACATGTTGATCAGATCGTGTGCTAGCCAAGGAGATTGAAGCGAGGACTTCCTTTCTCCTTAGCACGCCTCGAAGGGGCCCTTCCCGAACTTCTGGCCACCACGAATTCGAAAGGACGCCGCAGTGCGATGCCCTTCCTACACTTCAGCTCTTCTTTGCTGTCTCCGTTGAGCATGCCAACCTGCTCCCAACGGCCTAAACACGTGCGCCCTGAACAATGCTCGAGCAGAATCTGAGACCCGTTTAGACAACTCCCCGAGACAAGGTTGTGCTGGGGGACCCACCTTGAGCGCCACCTTCTTGACCTTGTTCATGGCCGAGAACTTCTTGAGGCGTGTCAGCACCGCGTTGTCCAATGGTTTGTCGGGAGCGTCTCCGTCCACGCGCGCCCACGGGTGGGCTGCCACATCCAAAGATAGCCCAGTGAGGACAGGCAGCGAGGAAGAACTAGCGCAGGCCGGCACAACGGCCGAGCGGTGGGACCTATCAAGGCTGACGAGAACCGCTGACACCGGAAGAAGCAACATCATCCGAAAATCTGAAAGCAAGGTCCAAGTGCACAGGGTAATTTTCACTGGTGATTACTGTAGCTTATGTGGCACATCAAGGTGTAGCCCGTACAATGGCCTGCGCTTCATGCCGCATGACTACACTTCACGGCGCTGCCGCATCAGGATCCCAATAGTGCAAGGAGCAAACTGCACGAACAATCTCAAGGAGAGCGGGGGGTCCAGCAGGCTCACTGAGCACTTGGTGGGCGGTAAGGCGCTCCTTGGGGTCCTGGCGCAGCATGCGCTTGACGAGGTCCTTGGCGGAGGGGGAGATGCGCGGCCATGGGTCGGACTGGAAATCGATGGTGCCGCGCAGCACCGCGTCAAAGATGCCCTGCTCCGTCTCTGGCAGCACGCGGGCACACCACAGCGTCAGGACGGGCTGAGCGCACCCTTACGTGGGGCAAAACAGCCACGACAAGACCATCCTGCTTCACAGTACTACCTGTGCTTGACAATCTCCCATTCCAGACACTATGGAAACGTTGAAATGTTGACAGTAAGCCTTTTGTTGCACGTCTTGTCATCAAGTATCACACCAGCAAACCATGCGTGCGCAGAGCAAAGACTGCACAGTATAGGCAGCCCTTCTCAGGAGCCTGGGCAGAATGAGTAGCGTACCTGCCCAGAAGGGCGGCACTCCGCACAACAGGATGTACAGGATGACTCCGCAACTCCACACGTCCGCCTCAGGCCCGTAGTTCCTCCGCAGCACCTCGGGGGCGACGTAGTATGCACTCCCCACAATGTCAGAGAACTTCTCGCCTGCAGCCAGCCAGGACAAACCGCAGCTTCATTACCTCTCAGCTGCCTTCCGGGCTGTCAGCTCGATGTGGTACAACTCTATGGTCATCTGAACGCATAGCGAGCATCATTGCAACATGTGGTGCCGACATGAAAACCCCAATTCTCCTAAAATCCTGAATATTTTACCAAGAAGCGGCACCTTCCTTGTGCCCTTTGAATTCAAACGGGAGTTCGGCTTGTACCTGGCCTGAAGTACACGGAGAGGCCGAAGTCAGTGGCCTTGAGCGCCGCATCCTCGGACTTGTCCGCCAGAAGGAAGTTCTCGGGCTTGAGGTCACGGTGCATGACCCCCAGGGAGTGGCACGCCTGGACCACCCCCACAATGATGCGCAGCGTGGCCGCAGCCTGCTTCTCCGTGTAGTGGCCCTTGGCAATGATGCGGTCAAACAACTCACCTGGACGAACATCAAGCGCCCAATCAGCGCAGGGGGAAATGCTATGGTGAGGGCACAAGTGCATACGACCAGGTCGCCTGCCCCATTCCAATGCTTGCGAGTTTCCAATCTCCAGCATCGCATCCAGGATCAATAAATGCACACCGAGGACGACGAGAGGTCCTGCTTCTCCTGTAGGACGCGGCCAGCTCTTGATGCAGCAACAGCAAGGACACTATTGGGGCTTTTGTTTTCACTCTGAACTGCAATTTGGTCCATTGTGGGCCTCAATTGGCAGTCTGAAGCAAAAGCCCCATGCAAATTTAGATCAATTAATGCAGGACTTACAGATAGCAAGCTGGTTAAAGCTGGTTAAGGGAAGACACCCTGAAAACTTGCGATGGGCACCTCTGCTGATCGCGAGGCCTTTCGAGCATCCAACAAGTAGGGGGAAGCTGGCCTGACTACTGTCCCAAGTCCTTATAAACCTGAATTCTTCTGGCTCCATCCTCTGATCCAATTCATCCTGTCATTTTCCCAAAACACCAATTCTGATGCCAATTAATTCATGGCCAAGTGGGGGAAATAATCTCCAAACTTTGATTCCACTGAAAGCCAAGCTACTCCAATTGTCAATGCCAAAAGCCGTACGCAGGTAATACTAGGGTTGTAAGGCGGGTCAAGCGCTCAGCACGTACCTCCTGCACAGACCTCCATCACCTGCACCACAGGAGCAGCAGAGCGAGCATGATCAGAGCCCAGTCCTGGACAAGGTGTCACATGTGCAAGCAAAAAAGCACAACTAATAGGATATCCAGCAGAATGTCACCAGACAATTGGCATTTATTGAAGGCTGGCTGGGTAAAGTGGAGACTGTCCCACCCCATCTTAAGTTTTGCCGGACATGCTCAAAGACAAAGAATTGTGATTGCGAGAGGTATGTCAGCATAAAGCACCCAAACAGCCTTTGATATTCTAGATTTTGATCACTGCTGCACCCTACAAGACCTCTGAAGGGGCACATTGGTCCATCAATCGCAAGCATTGACAATAGCAGGGTCCGCCCACTGCTGCATTAGGCATCATGATCACTGCAGCGGGCGGACAATTCGTGGGCTCCACCCTGCGGCGGCCTCACCAGGTGCACAGCGTGCTTGTCCTCGTAGGCCCCAAACAGCTGCACAATGTTGTTGTGGCCCTTGAGATGGTGCATGATCGACACCTCACGCCGCACGTCCTCAATGTCCTCCTTGCTCTGCAGCTTGCGCTTGGCAATTGACTTGCATGCGTACTGCGCCCCTGTCTCGCGGTCCACGCACAGATGCGTCACCCCAAATTGCCCGCGTCCCAGTTCTTTGCCAATTGTGTACTTAGTCTTCACGTCCTCGGTCGGCCTGCCCAGCACACTGTGAATGGACAGCGGAGCCGGCCGCGCGGGCCGCACCGGGTGGGCGCCCCCTGGCTGCACAGCAGTACCGACAGCCATGGGAGCGGTGGTCCCCGTCTGGGCAGGAGCCCCGTTGACCTGGGGCTTGGCCTTTTTGTCCACCTTCTGCTCGTGCGCGTCGGAGCGGTCGCCGCCCTTTGCGCAAGCATTGCCCATTATGCTGTGGCCTTGAGGTGCAAAAAAGACCACACCCCACTTTTAGCAGCAGCACACCTCGAGGTAAATCTTCGGCTTCGAGCCTACCTGTGCAGCCGTCAGAGCTGTCAAGATGCAACGCGTGCTTTCACGCCCAGGCTGTGCGTTGGGCAGCGGATTATGGGGGTACGGTAAGTACCGTAGAGGCGCCCCAGACTCCAGAGCATTCTTGCAGACGCCTCTCTTTCCAAGCAGTCCACATACAAGGGGCATTTTCGCAGGTGGCATCCGCTTTTAATTACCGGTATGCCCAGAATAAACCTCGCGGTACGGTACCGGACACATCCTCTAAAGACTACAAGCGAGTCGGCGGTCGAATTTGGACGGTAAGTACCGAGTCGGTGTACTATGACTGGGGTTGACCAATTTGACGAGGGCCGGGCCCGAGGGATCGCCCAGCGCGGCCCTGGGCGCTTGGATGAACGGCACGAAGGTACCTACTGGGTACCTACCTGTGTCCTAGGTCACAGTACCGGTACTTAATTTGGCAGCTCCCTCACATTTCCCAGGCCCAGATCTTCAAGTTGTATCCAGCTAGGAGCCCCCGGGCACTTCCAACTGAAAGCCCTAACCCACACTTACGCGCCAGGCAACGTGTAGCATTTGCGATTGGGCCCCCAAGTTGTCGATTTGACAAAACCCGTTTGACAATCTTCTTCGAGACCGGTTGATGTGGCCTAATCTCTTGCAGGGGGCTGGCAAGGGTAGATACATATATACGAGGTCGTTTCAATTATTATAGGCGGAATTGTTTCTGAGATCTGTGACTTTTGGAGGCTGTCAAGACGTAGGTAAACCGGGCACCGGCCACCAGGCCCCTCGTCTTCTCGCCAGGGAGCTCCGAGAACCGGCCACCAGCCCTACCGAGGAAATTCAGAAGACCGGATGTCCGGACGCCACTGCACATATGTATGTTTTGACATGATGCCTAGGTACCGTACTTGCGTGAACCCCCATACGGTACTTGCGTGGGGGTGTGCACTGTGGTCCCTGGCCTCGTGGCACTGACAACCAGTCAAGTTGCTCGATCAGACCACGTGGCATACCGTACCTTCGTAGAGACATTGAAATTCGCACCAGCTTGGTGCGAATAATTAATTTCTAAAGTTCTGGCATTTCGCACCAGGTTATGGGATAGTTTTTATTTTTTCGCACTGAGCCCATTTTACAGTTTTTAAGGGCTGTTTTGCCCCTTTCGATGCTGGTTTTGGATTTTCTTTCACTTCGCATTTTCGCACCAAGCCCAGACCTTAATTTCGATTTTTTCGCAACGGCCTAAAATGGATTGTTTTAGTGCGAATGGGAATGGCGCTACGGTACCTCCTAGTGTTGAGCGTACCGCCCGGTCCTCATTTTGCTATAGGTACGGCACTCCATGGATGACACAGGAAACGAAAATCTGGCCAGATAGGAGCCTTGGCAGAGAGCCTTGTGGCAGAGAGCCTTGGCAGAGGATGTACTACGGTGCTACCGTGACCAAGTCCTGGCAATCATTCGACTGGCCCGCCCCTGGCCCGCCTGCTACATCACCATTGATCGCAAATGTGGTACCGTCGAGGGACCTTTCTTGCTTAGATAGATGGCAGCGGCCGGATCATACGTGCACATTGAGTACGCCACCGCTGCTGAGCTGGTTGACAGGCTGAAGGCAGGGCCAGCCGACCCGGCCGCAAGAGATTTTGTGGTGGTCGATGTCCGGTATGCTGTCCTGGCCCAGTCCAGCTCCTTTGTCCTGGAGCGAGAGGGAGTCTGCTCTTGCAGTCCGACCAGACCACCTTGAGCTCTGTAGAATCAGGAATGTGTGAAGCACTCGAGCACCATTGATACAACTGGTGAATGTGTTGCACTTTATACTTTTTGAAGAAGCATCTGTTCCTCCAATCTCTCTCCCATAAAGTCATGTCCAGACAAGAAGCGCAGCATCACATCGACTTGAAGTGAGCCGCAAAGCCATGGGCTTCAAAAGTGCACGCATCTTCCAGCCCAACAACTCGCTGATTTGTCACCTGCTATCCTGGCAGGGACGATGAGCGCGAGTACGACGGGCACATAGCTGGGTCCCTCCACTTTGCAAGTGCTGAGTTTGACGACACATTGCCCCGTTTGTGGCCAGCCATCAGGGGGAAGAAGGCTGTCATCATGCACTGCGCGCTCAGCCAGGTGTGCGCCTTGCATTGCACGTCGTTTCCTGATCTTGGCAATGACCGTTGTGGCTCAGCTTCGATGGGAATCATGCATCTCGTGCCCAAATGGGCGGTGTATTAACAGAGGAAAGAACCTTGCGAATCCAGAAGAAGGACCGAAAAACTATCTCTTCACAGTCTGCTTTCTCTGCAGAATTGCCGCACTCTGCGACATTACTGCTCCTTGTGACTTGTGTCAACACTCAGAGGTCCAGTCACATCTGAATTATTCCACTAGGTTCACGTAGACTTTTTCAGGTTCTAGCAGGTAAGGGGCATGGGCAGTAACACTCCAATTGCGTTCGTGCCATCATGAAGACTTGACATTTCCTTCTGGCCCAGGTCCGCGGGCCCTCGTGTGCCCGCAAGCTCCACAGGCAACTCGAAGCTCTGGCCAGTCAAGACAAGTCCCAGCGAGATGCTGCGCCTGAACTGCCGACGATCTTTGTGCTTGAACGAGGCTTCAATGGGTGGGCGGCTGGTGGTAAGCCCGTCTGCCGGTGCGGGGACATGGTGTGCAAGCAGTCAGTCCAGTGGCCTTGGTGAGGGGAATCAAGACCCACTTAGGATGGGAGTTAATTCTGCTCGCATGTGAGAACTAAGCACCACTATAGGGCACAGTCCGTTGATGAGCTCATCTAAGAGCCCATTTTGTATACTGTTATGGAAGACTAGCTCGTTTTCCGTTTCCGGTCACAGCCACAGAAAGCAGGTCAGGCAGAGATACTTCAAAGTACCTCTGCAGACAACCAAGATGTCAAGAGCTAGCACAGGTGGTGCTAGTCGACGAGCAAGTGGTTAGCTAGACTCGAGATTCCGGGCTGCTTAAAGTAATCGAGTCGCATTTGCAGTCTAGAGGTACAGGACGCAGCCCAGATTTGGCACAGGTCTCATCTAGGCTGCTGCGAAGGACTGAGATCAATAAGTAGCCGACAGCAAGGCAGGCCCAAGGCTGGACCTACTCATTGCGATATTTGATGTCTCGAGTTGCAGTGAACCGATGAGCAGGGCCTACATGTTACTAATGGCGTGCGCGCTGGGAGCTCGTAATTTTGGAACTCCCATCATTGAGGCATGACATGCTCTGTCATGCATAAGTATATATGTGAATGCGATGTTGGCCCACGCTTTGAGCTATGACCCATTTAACGTTTTCTGCAACAGTTGCATTTTCCGCAGCAGTTGGGCTTACAAGTTCTGCATTCATGGCAGCCGCCCATGCGCTTCCATTGATGGTGGCACCGTTGTGATTATGAGTCAACAATACGTCATTATGCTCTATCATCCGCGACTAAATTGCATCCAGATCGTGTTATAGCATGCCCTACCTAGTATACTCCGACTATGTACGCACACAGCGGCTGAGCATCAGTTTCTGCGGAACCTATACATCCTTTAGAGTGCACGAGGAGCAACGAACGCGAGTCGGGATCTTCGAAACTTCAACTCGACTCATCAGGCCAATTCCGTGTATGCTACCAACTCACCGGCGCACAGCAATCAGCCAGCTGCAATCAATCTGAACAGTGCACGCTGCACTATATATTCAGGGTCCTGTATCATGCGACACATGCACGGTTGTCGGACAAGGAACCTGAGTGCTTAAGCGTACAGCAGTAGACCTTCAGCTAAGGCCCGCCAAACGACTTTGCTCGAGGTTGCTACATCTTTCATTCGCATCACAGCCGGAACGTGTCGTTCCTGCAGTCAACACATCAGTGCAATCTGAGAACCTACCGTAGTATCCGTTCGAGCAGATGCTCCAACCGGTAAGTGCAGCTAGTACCGTACTGATTGGCCAGAGCGTGCGGACGGGAGAATGGACAATAAAAGGGTGGGGGATACATAATCTGCCCCGCCGTGCTCGATCGCTCAGGACACTGGCCCCACTCGCCTAGCTCTGCGACGATCTTCAGTGCTGCGTCACACGATCACCAGCCCCGATGTCGGCGCCTCGGCTATGGCCGGCGGGATGACAAACACCCTGCGGTGGGCCTGCAAGGACATCGCTGGTAAGCGCTCGCACTGCCAAGCTTGAAACGCTCTTGAACGAAGCAGATTAACAGAATATAAAGGCCAGAGTTAAACCTTCAATCTGACGAGCCGCCTGCACCTTCCGCGGTCATATCGCGGACCGTACCTGCGGAGCTCGCGGTGCTTTCCGCTTCCACTTGGCCTGCCGGCCCGGGCTCTCCCTTTCGCCGCCGTCCCCGTCCTCCTCAAGTGCCACGTGGATTCGCCTCCGGACCACCCTCAGCCCGGGCCGCCTGGAGACATTGTCCACAAACTCTGGCTCGCTTCCCTCGCCCTCCAGCTCCGCTGTCTCCGCCGCACAGATCTCTCCAATCCCCCGCCCAGAGAAGCTCGCAAACGCGTCGTCCATGTTCGGCCCCTCGAGCTGGCTATCGCCTTCTGAGGTGAAAGTCGCCACGAGCGGGTTAGTCAGAGGCTCGTGAAGAGGCTTCCCCGCCCAGGCGTCCGTCCTCTTGTGCCGCCCGCCGGCACGCCTTTTCTTGACAACACACCCCCCCTCGCCGGCCACCCCGCTGACCGCGTGCGTCGGGCCGGGCACAACGAACTTGAACGACTCGGTGCTGCCGCAGCTCTGCAGCCCGTTCACGTCTAGGCTGGGGCTCCGCTGTGAGCGGCCAGCCTGCGGGGCCGTGTTGGTCGGGGGGAACGTCCGGACCGAGTGCACCCCAACGGAGCTGGGCTTCTTGAACGCGGCGCCCGGGGGATCGGCGACAACAATGACGGGCCGCGTCCATGCCTGCGACTTGATCCGGATGCGAAGCAACGGCACGGGCGCCTCCGGTCGGGGAGTGCGGTCCGCGAAGCGCGGCCGCGGCTCCGAGGCAGTATCGAGGCTGCAGGGAACGGGGGAGGTCACCTCCTGCTGCTCCGCGGCTGCTCCGCGCAGAGGAGAAACGCCCACGTCGCTCGGCCGGAACCCCAGCAGCGGGACTGGCAAAGAAGAAATGAAAGGATGTAGATGGACGACCGGAATGGAAGTGAGTGGTGTGTACTGTATTAAGTCATGTCCTGGCAATGTTGTGGGCGTTGTTGGAACTTCAACCGCATGCTTCACATGGATCAGTGACGACTCGATTGGTCGCGATCTGCCGATTGCATGCTTTTCCACGTGCTTCCAGCCTCATCTCAATGTAGCTCGAAAAGGATCCAAGGACATACAGACTAAATGGCTCTGCAACCGACGGGCGATTACGTCCTCTGCGCAGTCCGCAGTAAGCGCCGTTCATGCCAATTTCCTGCGCTGGTGGTCGAGCATCATCATGTATTCCTTACCGTCTTTGTCAAGCCACGTCAGCAGCTCGTCCAGATCGTCACTTGAGCTCCCGTTGGTGGACAGACTTTGCATTGTAAACGCCTCGGACCCGGTCGAGACGGACAGGGCGCCTCCCTGTCGCTCCGGGCCAAAGTCGAAGCTGGGAACGTGGTCGGAGTCAGTGACGTCCGGAAAGAGGTCCTCCGGAAGGGGGCACGTGCCTCCTGACGTGGCAGCAGAGCACTGCTCGGCAAGAAAGCTGACCTCGAAGCTGGTCCCAAAGTCGAAGGAGGGGCGGCGGGAGGGGGCAGCTGCGAGAGCACAGCACACAGAGCAGGGGTGAGACAAACGTCGATGCAAAACGAACACTATTGCTAGAAAAGTGGGCGCCGAATCACCGGAGGGTGCTCAAGTAATGCAGACCGTCTAATGTTTTGAACGATTTTGTGAGTCGGTGCATGGTCGGGGCAGGGACAGGATGCGTGTCTGAAATGAAGAGAGGCACCCCTTATTCAAGCTGGATGCTTGATGTCACCTCGTGCATGGTTTTTTCATTGTTCTGTTCCAGATTAGGATTTGTCCAAGTGACCGGTTTCGTTGTCGACTTTGTCAAACCCAGGAGGTTGCCAACAACTGATCCTATCGAGGTTCAAGTGACTGTTACGCTTTCAAGCTGCCCGAGCAATGTCAAGTCCTTGTATGCTAAGTGGGCACTCTGTGAGAAACGAGAAGCAGTAACTCGAGCTTCGAGCTGAGCTTTGCTCCAGCATTGCTTCTGTTTGCCTCTTTCCAGTGCCCAGTCCTTGATGATATCAGCACAAGGTTTATCTTGCAAGTGAGCTAGTGACGTCACAGAAGTCGTGAAGGCGTTCTCGAAGACGAAGCTGCAAACATAAACAAACACGCTGGACTGCACCCAGACGAGCCACATTCAGCAAGCCTGCAGGTGGCCTCAGCTTGCAACCCAGTCCCTTGCGCCATCGATCTCTAACTGCTGATTGCTAGGCTTCGTCCTGCTCTGCAATGTGAGGGGCTAATGGGTGCGTTCCGCATGCTGCAGCAATCAGTGCAGCCTCCCTTGCCTCCCCGCATGATGCGACGCTTGAGCTTGCAGTGCTGGGGAGTGCTCAGCCATGCAGCACACCTTGGCTGGTCTGTGCAGATGCTGACTAAAGATATATGGGCCAGGAGACAGCTTCGGCTGCTTGGTCTCAGCAGTATCATTCAGACAGCCATGTATTTGGAGCGAACACGGACCGGTGCACTCACCTTGTGAGCGCCCCTTTGGCTGCTCCTCGGGCGCCAGCGCTGCAGTGTCACGCAAAGTGCCATCCATGTTGGTGCAGCGCGCCTACACTGTAATCAAGAATCGAAACAGGAAAGAAGAAGCGTCTTGATGCAATCTACTTAGCAACTTCAAGTCTCGCCACAGCGTCAGCTGCAGCCTCCACCTCCAGTGGCTTGATGAGGGCGCTTCGGCACTTAGAGTGAGTGGCAGGCAGCTCACGATCTGATTGAGACTCTTGATGCCAAAGCCAGGGCACAGGACATTTCGAGGCGTTCGATGTGACGCTTTATCGGGACTTTATCCTCGTAAATCTCGCTTGCATGATCGGCCAACATCAATGACCATGCGGAATCTTGGAAGAACAGCTGTCATATCCCGTCACTGGCTCGATGCTGACTGCATAGTGCTCCTCGCATGCATAATTGGTTGCGAAGTCCTCCCAAGTCCTTCAGGCTTTAGGTAGTTTGTTCGAGAGCAATCCCGATTGGACTCCGATAACTCTCGTGTGACCTAAGAGCCGTGTGACCTAAGATACGCACCCGGGGGACGGGTGGGGTTGGTACGGTGGTTAGGGTGGGTTGGGGTGCGGAGCGGCTGATTAATTGGGTTAGGTTTTTAGTTTGAGGTGCCCGGGTTACTCGTATCTTGGGTCACACGCCCGTTAGGTCACACGAGAGTTACCGGTATCCCGATTGGTCCAACGTTCACCTTACTCACGAACGGTTACAGTCTAGTACATTGAGGTTCTTGACTCTGATGATTGATCATGTAGTGGTAAAAGGTACTGTGGCCTCAGGTGCTACGCATATACCGGCTAGGTAAGTCTCACATGCCTAGGTACTCAAATCTGCAAAGTTGTACAGAGCCCTACAAAGAGTTGTTCTAATACGCCGACGGGCCACAAGTTGAAACAACGACCGGCGTGCGAGCACGTCGAGGAGTGATCCAAGCAGCTGCATCACTTCCTTGCTCGGTGGAAGCAGCGGCACAGGGCCGGGCTGAGTCGGTACTGATCGGCCTTTTCGTACATCGTACAAGGCTTTTTTCAAGGGCCAATCGGGCAATGAAGCTCGCGCACAGGAGCGTGGCCTAACCGCTTGTTTTATTCATCGACAGTTCAGGTACATTTTTATTCCAAGTGACTTTGAATCGATGGCGTATGGCGCACCTCGATGATGAGTCATCAACTGTCGACAAATGTTGCACGCACGTCTCACCGATGGTCGTACTAGGTGTAACCTTAGCCTCAGTACCGTCATAGTGACCGTACCATACGCACTGAGGACTTCCAATGTGGCATGCAGGGCGTGCGTACAATGCAAGACGGTGATTCACGTGATGCACATGAGCCACATGAACCACATGGCTCGCACATCAAGCGCAAATTGCCGCTGCCTTGTCGCCGGCAGGGAGTATCCGGACGTTTTCCGCGAGCTCAGGCTGGTCACTCCGTCTGCTTTCAAAATTGAGTTTGGGTGCTGTGTCGCAATTATAATATCCTCTCCCGGCCTACATACTGTAACCCTAAAAGCTGTACCAACACGATTCTGGCCGCATTCACGTGGCTCAGTGCTGCCCCGTGGCGGCAATTCTGCTCCACTGCCTCTACTCATGTCCATTCAAACCATGGAACCATTACAGGGCCTTGGATTCATCACCAGATAGACTCGTGTTGAACAATTCGACGGCCATTTTTGCTATTCTGATGCAGATGCTGATAGCCGCCGCTTGCTTCTGCAGCTGTATATATACGGACCCAAGCATAATGTGCTAGGCTTCTGAGGGCAGCAGCTCTGGACAATATGACGACGCCAGTCAGAGACTCCGAGTCATTGACTCACGTCTCGCCGGCTAGCTGCTGGCTGTAGTAGCAGCGTGGTTGAGCACGGAAACAGCTTGGGTGTTTGTGGCAGGCAAGGGAGGTAGCGGTTGCAGGAAAGTACAGATCAGGTGGCCACAATACATCTGCCCACGCGCTCGCAATGACCTCTGTTGATCACCTTCCGACATCAACTGTCATGTGCAATATTGCGGATCAGCTTACGAGTCCAGGCTTGAAGATCCGCTCATGGACGTCCCAATTCAGGATCAAACCAACTGGAGTGTACTAGCGCTAGCGTGTGTGCACTTAATCGTTACCACCTTATCCCTTGTAAAAAGCAGTATGGTACATTCCTATTTGACAAGAATCCTGGACCTTTGCATCACACTCTCTTTTGCACCGTAAATTGCCTCTCTCAGAGCTTGGATTCCCCTAGTTCCCATCAACTTTATTGGTAGATTAGTAGTTTCCAAATTGACCTGTCAATCATTTGGGACAATGACCATCATCAGGTTACCAGAGCGGCCTTCGCCCGCCGTGCTCGCGCAATCGACTGAGCGCCAGCCGCCACTTCCCTACGATCTTCCGGATATGGCCTTCACAGTAGAAGCAAAAGTTTGCGCGAGTCTTCAAGAATATAGAGAGTGAATAGGATTGGAGATAACAGCATTGGTTTGGCCGGGATACTGAGAATGTAGCTGGTAGGACGTCGACGGCGAGCGTAGCCTGAGATGCACTAGCCCCAAGACCGAGACCCACACACTCATACATGTATGCCATGAGAAGCCTATGGCCTATTTGGCAACGGCGAGTACGAAGAGAGCATCTTCGATCAGACTTGAATGGCTCGTCGGGCCACAATAAGGGAGCACATGTGTCATGCAGGCCACCGACGGCGAAGCGTTTGAGACATGCACAAATGCCTGCACCTTCCAATGCGGTGGTACTCGGTTGTACTCCAGATCGAACATATGATCGAGCGAGCTCCAGATCGATCATATGTTCACTTTGTTACAGGATCATCAAATGTTGTGCACTCCACGCATCACCAATTATTGATTTGAGATCTTCACACCGCTTGGGCGTAGCAGAGGATGTGCAACCAAGCAGAACGAGTGGCAAGGACACCGTAGAGCTAGAAATGAGCGGTGCGGGGACCGGGACTCACTGGCGACCATGTGGAAACCGGTCTGTACGGGGTGATGTCCTTAATGTGCCTGTTCTGCTTCCCTATCAGCTATACTATATTTGAAAGTCAATAGGTAGACCCAGATTTCACGACTAGGGAAACCTTATGTACGTCCCAGAAACAAGAGAGACTTCGACGACCTGTTGATCTGACAACGGACAAGGGCACTACGTAATCTGGTACTGTTTCTAACGGCTTTCCATGCCTGGAAGGAAGCTACGGGCCCACAGCCATTTTAATGTGGAAAGCAGTATGACTTTCCACAGTCTTCCCAATCATGCTGTGAAGAGCAGCATGATTGTGCATCTCTATAGCTATGCAATTTGACGCGGTCGGGCTCTGGCCCATCGTTCAGCCACCTAGAAATAAGTTCGTACAGTGCTGCAGCTTATTCCGTCACTGCCGCAGACTCCCGGCCCGGGTCCACCATCCCCAGACCTTGCAGCAGAGACACGAGCGTGCTGTCCCCCCCCGCTGCCTCGACAAGGGCGGCCACGCGGCGGCTGCTGCGCCGGCTGCCGCTCACGGAGTCAGGGGAGGCCGGGGCGTGCGCCACAAAAGCAGCGACCGTGTTCTGCACAGGCAAAGCTCTATTTGTGAGTTCTCAATTCTTAAGCAGGCAAGCGCAAGCAAAGCGCTGAAAAGCCGAAGAAGGATGACAAGCGACACACACTCAACCGGAAAACAATCTGTCGTCTCCCTCTCGCTCCTTGCGGGCCTCTACACGAATCCATTATTCAGCCTTTCTCGAGCGGAGGAAGGCCAGTCCCGTTCCGCACCCCCACTCACCGCATCGCAGCGGCCCTGCGCGGCACTCCAGAGCCAGCCCTGCACAAGCCCCTGCACCCCGCGCTTCTTCTCCGCCTCCGCCCCGCCAGCAGCGCCGGGCTCTTGCCGCTCCCTCCCGCCGTCATCGGTGTGAACAGGCCCCGGTGCGCTGCTTGGGGCGCTGCTTCCGGCCCCCCGGCCCCCATTCTCACCCGGCGGGCCTGCGGTGTCGTCGAGGGCGGCGCCCAGATGGTGCAGCGCAATGAGAGCGGTCACGGACATGCCCTCCGGCCCGAGGGCGATGGTCCGGTCGAGCGCACCGGAACGCAGGGCGGCCGCGTACTGCTCGAGGGCGTCCTTTTCCGCCTGCAGAGACGGAGACGGTGCTCGTCTGCAGTTCCAACTTGCGCTCTGCTTGCTTGTTGGCGGCCAGACATCTCTGGCTGCCAGGACAGTGACCTTTTCGGTGTCTTGCAAGTGAAAATGCAAGCAAGGGGGCTCCGTGAGCCGCGGCAACATAACACTTCAAAAGCGTTGCGATGCACGTTGGCCCATGATCTCCTGACCTGGACATTTGATTCTAGGATCGGAAAACGTAAAGTCGCGTCAGACTGTTTTCATTTACATGAGTGCCGGGAACATCAGCTATCTTGCTCAGCGTCCAATCGCTTGGCGCATCAAAGACGTGACGCCAGCATGACGAGGACCTAGGCTTACCGCTAAAGCAGGGAGGTACGCACGCGGATCGCCCAGGCAGTCCCTGGCAGGCGGTAGCAGATGCAGCGCTCGTGCATCTGCCAGAGCCTTCCAGACCACCAATCGCAGAGCGCCAGGTGTCACATCCTCTCGAAGCAGCAGCACCACCTGGCGGCCAAAAGCGGGGTCCCCAAACGAAGTGGCCGCGAACTGCTCCGCCAGGCCCTCGGCAAAGCCCTCGTAGGGCGCCCCCGTAGCCACCGCAAAGTCGAGCGCTCGCTGATCCCGGCGGCCAGACATTGCTGAATTGTCGCTCGGAGGCGCCTCGGGTGCTGCATCTGCGCTTGCAGCATTCTCATCTGCCGGAACCGGCGGAAGTTCTCGCCCATACAGCTCCTGCAGTGCCTGCAGCAGCGGCGCTACGTCGCTATCCAGGAACAGCTCTCCTGCGGCCAGGAACGCCTCGCTCAGCGCGTGCAGCTTCCTGACCAGCGGGACCCCCAAAAGGTGTCCACCGCTCTTGCTATCCTTGCTCTGCCCTTCGGGACGCTCTAGACGTTCGCACGCTTCCAAGCCGAGCAGCAGGGCCAGGCCCGCCCGCACGAGCTGCTTCACACCGTCCTCAATGTCGCCGCTGCCTTCTTCCGAAACGGCGCTCGAGCTCAGCTGGGCGGCGACAGCGGTGGGGCTGAGTAGCCAGTCAGCCGGGAGGAGAAGCTTCTGGCCGGAGATGGAAACTGCGAGCGCTGCCCCCGGTCCGCTCGTACTTGTCCTACTTGGCTCTAGGTTTATGCGGCCTGATAATGAACCACCAGAACGACCTTCCGAGGCCTGTGCCCTTTCGGAAGTCCCGTCTGCGTCTAACAGCCTGTTCACTTCCGTCTCAATGTCCCAACCATCTGCACCGCCGCCCTCGTCAGATTCGTCGGTCCACCGGCCGAGCCACTGGCCAGCAAAGTGGGGCAGAAGCACCCGCCGCACCTCCGCTGCACTCGGCAGACTCCCCCGACCGCTCTGACTGCCGCTGCGGACGCTCTGCAGGAGAGCCCCCCCCTCGGCCAGAAGCACCTCTAGAACGTCCGTGCTCAAGATAGCGGACGAGAGGAGCGCCAGCACCGACTCGAAGTTCCCGGGCCCCATCGTTCTGATGGCAGCCAAAGCCGCTCTGAGGCGTCGTATCGCCTGTCTCGAGGCTGCTCCACCGACCTTACCCTCTGCAGCCGTGTCGCGTCCACTTGTGGAAGGTTCCGGCACTGCCGCAGCACTTTGCGCACTGACATCTCCCTTTCCTACGCTGTTCAACGGGAACGTCTCGTACAGCGAGGCAAGCAGCCCCGCCCTCGCTCTCCGCACTGCCAGCCCCTCCCCCCACACCCCCCGGGCGGGCAGCCCCCAGCCCAGCCCCAGGCCCGCAGCCGCCGGGCGCTGCTCCTCCTCCTGCACCTCCCAAGCGCCGCCCCGCACCAGCACATCAGTCAGCCGCTCAGCCAGGCCGCCAAAAGATAGCATCATTTGTCCCTCGATGCTGGACAGACTGCTTTTGTCCCCCCCCGCCTCCAGTGCGGTACCGCTTCGTCCAGCAAGAATAGGCCCGGCTGCTCTTTCTGCTGCCGTGGCGCCCAGTCTCTCCCTTGCGGCAAGCGCTGACGTCAGCCTGAGCAGGCCCTGCAGGCACGAGGCTGCTGCCAGGGTGCCCCCATCGTCGTTTCCCCCTAGAGCGACCCTCTCGCTGAGAAACTCGAAATAACTGACTCGACCAGAAGCCGCGACCTCGCGCTCCGTTCTGGGATCGTCGCCCACCGGACGTTTGCCCTCCCTACTGGGGCTGGTATGCGAAGCAGCGGTGCGAAGGCCTCCCCCCTCGACGAGCAGAGCGTCGACCAGGGCCCTTTCGAGGCGACCTAGCTGCCCCGCGTTCCTCTCCGCGACGGTCGCCAGGAAGTGCACGGCTGCTGCCAGCGCGTGCAAGGGGGCGGCACCACCTGGGCTTGTCCGCGTCTCAGGAAGCGCCCCCAGTACCCCGGGGCTCAGCCATTTTGTGGCCGTCTCAACCAGAGGCCCAACCGTTGCCCAGTCCAAAAGCACCTCCGCTCGCTCCTCGTCCGCCGACTCGTCTTCCCGACCACTCGGCAACGTCCGAGCTAACGCCTCCAAGAGCAGGTATGCCTCAGCGCTTTCTCCCCAGGGGGCTGCTTCTGCAGCGGCTCTGTCCCCCGCCGGCGGCTCGAGGACAACCGCAAGGGCGCCGTAGTAGTCCGAGAGAGAGCCGCCCCCCCGGCCGTACAGCGCACAGGTGCGCCAGAGGCGGAGCACTCGTGAGAAGGCGGGCGGGAAGCGGAGGGGTGCGCGGGGCCGGGACACAAGGTGGCGCTTGGCCAACGAGAGGAGGCCCGTATCGGAAACCAGGGCGGCAGAGGCACGGTCTGCCAGGCACAGCATCTGAGAGCGGGGGGAAAGAGAGCAGGGCCATCAGGGACGTGATGTAGAAGGTGAATGCCAACAAAGCTGGTCTTAGCTCTGCAAGGAGGTTTTCTTAGTTCTACAAAAATGATGCATGCAGAGTGCAGCTCTTAATTGCCTTCAGAACTGTTATAGTGCACACCCACCCTCACCAACATGCAACTCTTGGCCCTCAAAAGGAGGCGCAATCCGCGCCTCCAGAAACGAGTAGAGAGCAAACAATCGCTATGATGTGGGTCAATCCCGCTCGGCCAACCGGGTATCGTGCTTGACCGCAGGCACTCACCGTGAGCAGCTTGACCGCCGTCTCCTGCGCGGTGTGGCTGGGTATCGGGGAGCGCACTGCAGGCGCGAGCACGCCCACGAAGATGCCCCGCAGCGTGGGCAGCAGCCGCGGGCAGTCGCGGACCGCGCGGGCTGCCGCGGCCGAGTGGCGGGCTAGGGTCACCAGCGTGGCCAAGAGGGGCTCGTCCAGGGCGGGCAGGCTCAGGACCTGCGGAGTGAAATGCTTAAGCTAGGAAAATACTCAAAATGCGAAGAAGAAAAGCAGTATTTTGCTTGAGCGGCTGCTTTTTTCTCCTTCGTGCTTCCGCTTCCCTAACAGCTATCAGAGCGTAGAAGGGCGCTGAATCATGTAATCACCGTAAGCCCTGCACAGTAAGAGGCTGCAAACAGCAGGAAGTCCACGCTCCGAGATGGCAGCCACAAGGCTCGCTTGAGCTGATCTTCTGAAGCGCGAGTCATGGAAGATTCATATTCTAGCACGGCAAAACCTTGAACGGCGTGTGTCAAATCGTCTTCTACACCGCATCTTAAGAAGCGAAGGTAATCGTACAGCTGGTATAGGCGGACTTCCCGTCAACTTTAGATCGAGAATTGCGCATGTTTCTGCCAATTGCTGCAGCGCTTGCCCGAAAAGCAAGGAAGACGACACCCATCCGAACTCGCCCCCGAACCCGCGCTCCTTGCTTCGCATCTCGCCAAGCCTGGTCCCGAGTAGCATCGTCCGCCCACCTCAAGGATAAATCTGATGCGGGGCAGGATGCCCATGCGGATCAGCCCCACCACCACGTCACCAGCGGCCACCCGCGCATCGTCGCCCACCGTCTCTTCGCGCACTTCGTCGCCCTCCGCGGCCGCACTTGTGTCCACGCTCGCTCGGGCCGCCCACCGGCCCCAACTGCTCACCCCTGCCCGCACAGAGGGACTGTCAGTAAGAGCGACCATCTCAAAGGACAAGGAGTTAACAGAGGCGGGTGAACCGCGAGAACGGACTGCTCGACAGCTGAAGGAAAGCTAGACTCCTGCGGGGACCGGATGCCCCTCGTTCCAATAGGTCCAAGAACACCTTTCTGGCAAGTCAAAGCGGACGGTGTGACCTGATAGAGCAAGTAAGCCTCTCACGAAGGCGAAGCAAGCTGGCCCTCAATTGTCGCTTGCTGTTAGGATTACCAGCGCGAAGTAAGGAGCGTTGGCAACAGGTGCATATTTGTGCGGCCGGCTCACCCGCCGTCAGAACACCCGACGAGCGGTCGCATGGCCCCGTAAATAGTGACGCAGACTCGTGTGGGCTTCTCCAAACCGCCTCCGCATCTTCAAAATTGGTTTCGTTCTCGACGCCCGTCAGCAGCGCCAGCAGCGCGTGCGCGGCCGCGGCGAGCACCGTCGCATGGGAGTCGTCCAGAGCAGACCTGGGAACACGGCAAAAAGTACTTTGTCAAAGGAGGCGGGGATAATTCGAAGCGGAAAAAGGGAACAACGAGAGACATGGGAGGAACCATGAATCGGATCACAAAGCAACTCCTCTATAAGCATTCTGGTACGATGCAAGCAATCAAGCGTAGCAGCAGTGTCGAGGAGAATGGTGCTATGATGGGTGTGATTGCTTGAATACTGATGGAGTACAGGCGCTTCTTGCTAAGGGCTTGCTCGTTGGTATGTCATCACTTGCACATTTCACCAACAGAACTCGCCAAGCTAAGGCACGCCTCTTGCTGTTCCCTCAAAGACGAACGCTGTCTTCCGCAGAGTCCCGTCCGACGTAATCCCAGACTTGAGTGAATTACCCACAGAAAAAGAGTTTCCGCAGATCGGAATTATGCACCGGTCTCTTCAGGAGACGACGAACGTTGCCCCCTAGCTCGTCCTATGGCAGACAGGATACGGACTGCTGTTCTGACCCGTCCCTCTGGGTTCCGTTCTGTCGGCCTCACCTGAGCACGACTGCCAACTGCAAATTTGGCCCCAGCGCATACGCCCACACTCGAGCCCACACGCCCCTCCAGAGCCCCCTTTCGTCACTTTCCGCCCCCTCTCCACCATGCATCCCACCTACAGCCTTCCTCAGCACCCCTGCAATCAAGCGCAGGGCGGCCGCCCGCTGACTCGGCACCGTGCTGCGCGCCAGCTTCGCAGCCTCCTGCAGCGAGTACCCCGTACCTGAGGGATCCCCCTCGCTCCGCAGGATGTCGCGCTCCGCCACCTTCGTGGTAACGTCAGCACTGCCCGGCCCGCCGGGCTCCGGCGCGAGGAGCGCCCCATCGAGGTCGAAGCGCATGTCGGACGCATTGACCGGTGCGAACATCAGCGGAGACACACGAGGCTCAGCGTGTGAGAAAGAGGACGCGGACACCCCTTTGGCGCCCGGCTCTCTTTCAGATTCCGAAGCGGAATGCAAGCTTGGCTCAGGGACCCCGCTGCTGCTTGGCACAGGGTCCGTTGGTTGTCCCGGAGGCCGCTCCTCTCTCTCTTCGCCCGTATCCTCCTCGCCCTCTTCTTCCTCTAAAGTCGCCAGCGCAGCCCCGGGCTTCGTGCGCGGACTCGGAATGGCCCCCGGCAGAGGCGTCGGCTGCCGCGCCAAGCGTCCACTGGTCCCCGCGGCGCCTGCACTGCACACCTCCGCCCGTGCTTCGTCTTCCTCATCCTCGGGGCTTTCCTCCAAAGGAGCGAGAACAGGCTCGCGCAAACCTTTGACGACAGGAATAGCGCCAGGCAGAGGAGTCGGCTGTCTAGCCAACGCCCCTTGAAGCTCGTCCGCTCTCCCTACCGATGCGCCCTCCGGCCCACTGACCTCCTCCTCCGTGCTGAGCAAGCCTTCCTCCATCTCGTCAGCCGCCGGTTCGTCCCCATCCTCTTCAATGAGGACGCCCAATTCCGGTTTCCGCTGCGGGGTGTGCTGCAGGATCGCACCCGGCATCGGCGTGGGCTGCCGTAACAGCCGTTCTCCCGTGCTTCTTGACCCTGCACCGCTGTCGTCCCCCGTCTCCCCCTCGTCTTCTGCGAGAGAATCTAAAGTTGCCCCTCCGGACTTGACTGCTTTCGGAATCGCGCCAGGAAGAGGCGTGGGTTGCCTCCGCAAAGGTGTTCCTTCTGCCGGGGTTACCCGTTCTGGCGGTGCCTTCAGATCTTCTTTCCCACGAGAAATACCAATTGCTGTGTCGCCTGATGCCACTTCTACCCCCCCATCCTCAGAAATTGCCCCGAGGCTGACTGGCGGCCCTTTTTGCACTGATGGAATGGCGCCAGGCAGAGGAGTGGGCTGCCGTCGGAGCGGGGGCTTCTCTGTCCTTGCGCCTGCACTCTTAACGGCGCTGGTCTCTTCTAACTCCTGGCTAATATCAAGCTTCTTTTCCACCAAAGAGCTCCTCGCTTCGTCATGTCCCCCAGCCCCCAGTTTCCTGGCCCCCCTTTTGCGGAGCGCCTCGAGTACGCCAGGTGGCAGCATCTGCTGCAGCTCCGCCTGCTCTGCCGCCACCTCGGCCGCTGACATCCCCGCCAAACGTGCACGATTCTCCCTGTCAATTGCTTCCTCCTCCAAAGAAGGCGCAGGAGCTCCAGATTGCTCCACTACGGTGCCTTCCCCCCCACTGCGGCTTCTCAGCGCTGCTTGCTTACCATAACTCGTGTCCAACCGGCTTTCCTCATTGCCCGCACTCGCTCGAATATTTGCCCCCTCAAAGGTGTCGCCTCTATTGGCAGCCTGCGCCCTGGCAACTTCCCCCTTTGGACCAGCTATCACCCGCCGCTGATCCTTGGGCTGACTGTTCGGCTCCCCCGTCTTGCGACTATCGAGCATAGCTTGACGGAACTTGCTCATCGCTGCCTTCTTGTGGGCAGGGTCTGGTCGAGAGAGGGGGATGGCCATGGCTGGGTCGAATGGAGGTGAGCTGTCCGCCTCTGGTTGGAGGCGCTCCAGCACCACCTGGGGGACAGGGGCCCAGTGCTGCACACAGAAAGGGGTGCAATTGTGATGGCGGAGAGGATAGCAAATGATTCTACTCCTTTCTTTTGACAGCTGACTGTATTCCATGTGACATAAGAACTGTCCGGCAGAGTAATGGCAGCAAATTTGTGCGGACATTGCTTGATTGAGCAGTACGTAGTCCAGCCAACAAGATGAATGGCACGCGACACCACAAAGACAAGGGAGCATGATTCGATCCTCTCACTTCAATTTTGTCAAGTATCGTGATACGCTTGGGAAAGCTGCTGCTCATCCAACCATGGAGTCAAAAATCATATTTAAGAAGCCTCCTGGCACATCTGTGGCAGCATTGCAGCTTGGGCATCCACTCTTTTCAATGCGAAACCTGCACCCACCGGCCCCTCCGAGCGATGCCTTGCTTCCGGGAAGGGTGTTGCTTGGGGTGCCGGCACTTGGGCGACAAAGCCGGCGTCTTTGGCGCCTGCCCCTCCATAGCCCTTCTCTTTGATGGCACCCACGGTGGGCAGCGGCTCGTACGGGGGGCGATCCACCGATTCTGACATGGGGTCTGCACCACCCCCATCGCCCCTTTCCAGACTCTCATCGTCAGAGACATCATCGCCGGCCGTCAGATCTGCCCCAGCCCCTACCCTGGCACGTGGCTCATCGGGGGCATCTCCAGCAGCACCACTTTCCTTGCGGAATGACGGGCCTGTCGGACGAGCGGAGAATGCTTTGATGGGCCTTGTAGCAGCCCCTACACCCGCACCTCCTGCAATTGTGCCAGCTGCCCCCCTGGACGCAATTGTTCCGATCGCCGTGGCACCGCCCTCTGTCGCCGTCGGTCCTCCATTGTCCACCACCTCAGGCGACCAAGAAACCCTTGGAGTTCGTGCACCCGACAAGGCTTTCTCGGAGGCAGCAGCCGAATCTTTCAGCGGCTGATTTGGTACCGGCCGCTTTACTTTGAGCTGCACAGATGAGGCCTCCATGCTGCGGACGAAACTCTGCTGGGCAGCCAGCAGCGCCTCCTCCGAGTCCATTGGCTGCGCTTGTGGCCGCGCGTCCATGATGGCGACAGAATCACACGAGTTCCTTCAACCCCCGCACAAGAACGGCCTCAGCGGCAATTGTCTGCCCCAGCAGACTTTCACTTTTCCTGCATGCCATACGTGAACTATGGATGCCCTGCTCGAGTACTTGCTGGTGCGGTCGGCAATGCCACCCTTGGCCCTGGGCGGTCTAGTGGATAACCGCAGGGTTTTGCTTCTTAACCCTTCACGACTCCGAACGAGATCAGAATTTCTGAGTGACAAACCCGATCCGGGTTCCGAATCCCATTGCAGGGGGTTCCCCCACGACTCCCACATGCATGGTGCATTGTGCATGCCTGTTCCATTGGTGGCGAGAGAACATGCTGCTGGCCAGCGTGCTTCCGCCGCATTGCACCAAGATCTGAAACTAGTTAAAAGAGTACTTGCTTGAAAGGGTGCACCACCTTCTTTGCATGGAACTCCATCCAAGTCGAAGGCATCCAAAGAGCAGATGCATGGAAGATGCGAAGGAGGACAAGTTTTTATGACCTTCCTGCATCGCCAGGAACCTCAACGCGTCGTTGGAGAGTTGGAGTGTGCCAAAAATGTTTGCTGTTAAGCATGTGCAGCATGGTGGGCATCACTGTCGCTTGGGAAGCAGTGGTGCGTTGGGCGGTACAACCAGCAGACGGTGCCACCGAACTGCCCCCGCACACGGTAGGCTGCGCAGCATCCGGAGCTTGTCAAATGTGGGGCTCGAAATGGGCGAAGGAATACTGTAATGCTGTTGAGGTGTGGATTGGGGGATCAAATGGTTGTGCAGGAGAGCGCTGCCGCAGTCAGCAAAAGTAGAGCACCTGGCTTGGGGTGCTTATGTTTAGATTGATCGATGCCACAACTACCCCGTTATCTACCACCTTCGCCAGTCGGTTCCTGTCTCCCTGACGTCACGCGGGGGCTTATGGACTCCAATGTGGGACCCAGCCATGCTTGTTTGTGTCTTACCCCTGACTGTGCTTCTTCCAGTTGCAGGCCATCGAGAACCAGGCTGGGTGGGAAACTCCAGCTCAGGATGTGGTTCTCTTGGAAGCTGGATCTGGGAAACCACCAGACACGGATGGAAGCACGGATTTGAAGACACTCCTCCCTGGATCGTTGGAGCTGGGCTCATCAAGCAAAAACTTGGGGATCGTTGATAGCGCCATTGGAGAAGAAAGGGGCTCGTTAGGCCCAGCGACAGAGGGGGCAGGGGGTGTCTGGCAGCAGCCAGAGGGCAATCAAGATGTGCCGTGCATAGAAACTGAGCTGCGGGTGTTGGCGAACCCCAAGGGACATCTGGTGGTCCATGCCAATGGGGGTCTGAACCAGATGCGGCTGGGGATCGCGGATATGGTGGCAATCGCCCGAGTGTTGGAGGCCGCGCTGGTCGTGCCGTACCTGGACGCACGGTCGTTCTGGCAGGACAACAGGTGAGGGCCATATCCCTCACACTGTCTCCACACAGGGTGACTGAAAAGCTGATAGTTGTATTCCAGAACAAGCTTCGCAGGTGCTTTTGGCATCCGTTCTACAACTCAGGGTGACTTTGGACAGACGCAAATGGACGCAGCACAGCTGCTTTGCGAGGTCAGAGCGGGAGCAGGGCAGCCAAAGATAGTGGTGGCATGTCTACAATCTCCGAGATAGGGTCTTCAGCATGTGGGAGAAATTGCGTCCTGTCAACCCATTGATAGATAGTAACCGCACTGCAAGCAACCGGGCAGTCCACCGGGCAGTCCGCAGTCTGACTTCCGTGTGCTGTCTTTGTGTAGCACGTTTGAGGAGCTGTTCGACCTGCCGTTCTTTATCGAGGCCCTCCCGGATGACGTGCCGGTGGTGGCTGCCCTCCCGGCAGAGCTGCAGGGTGCCCCCGTGGCGCGGAAACACTTCAAGACGTGGTCCGACCTGCAGTACTACCACAGCATGATCGCCCCCCTCTGGCAGAACTACAAGGTACGCCCTTATTGTCACATTTTGAGGGACCCGGCATTATGGAGCTGTCTTTTTAGTCATCCCGCTGGTCACAATCAATACAGAGAGACGAAGTGGACGTCCCGCAGTCTAGGGAGAACGTCCAAAGTCGAGATAGAGTCCGCCAACTGAAACGTCGGCACATGGTGCATTCCTTTTTGGAATAGGTTTACCTCAGTGAATTCTGAAAGCACGCAGAAATGAAGGGAGTGTGGCTAAATATAAGATCGCCCCTCCATTCTCAGACTTCAGATCACCTAAGCGTTGTACTGGGTCCTAACCATTGCATGTCAGCAGCTTCAAACCACTTGGCTTAAGCGAAGAAGTCCTTCTTGACTTCTTGATTAATCAATCTGACCGACGGCTGGCTTTCAGACGACGTTCCACCTAACCAACGCCCTTTTCCAGCTTATCGCGTTGCAGGGCAGTTTTTATGCTCGTTAAACCTCCGCCCACCCTCTAGCATGCCCGCCAGCTGTTTCTCCCCCGCGTGCCAGGTGATCGAGGTCGCCAAGACTGACACCACGCTGGCCAACAACGAGCTGCCGCCCTCAGTCCAGAAGCTGCGCTGCAAGGTCGCATTCCACGCGCTGCGCTTTGCGGCGCCCATGCGCACCCTGGCCGACGGCTTGGTGCAAAAGCTTCGGGCGCGGGGACCCTTTGTGGCGTTGCACCTGCGGTACGAGAAGGACGTGCTGGCATTCAGCGGCTGCACGCACGGCCTCGCGCCCGCAGAGGCAGACGCACTGACAGCGGTCAGGTGAGCTTTTCTGTGAAGAGATGTGGGTCTTGATGTCGTAAAGAGGAAAGTCTCGTGTCAAAGAAGCTCTCGTTCTGTCGCGTAGGGAAACGCCCTGCTAATATGCTCTCTCTCGTCTCGTTCTTTGGATATCGCCCGACCGGGACGTGCAATCCCCGCATACTCTCCGTTAGGATGTATACCTAGTCCTGTACTCCTGAACGCTGAAAGCGAGGCTTCGAGACCGATCTGAAACCCAGACCGATCTGAAACAATCCGCACCCCGACCCTGTAGGCCATGCGTGCTGGCCCCACTTTCTTTTCTCTTGTCCGCCAGTCTCTTGTTGCGCTTTTGTTCACGGTTCTGCCTGAAAATCTCCCCAAATAAAGACAGAAAAACCCATGACATTGCCCTCTTTCGTTTCCAGGCTGGCCACGCCGCAGTGGCGCGTGAAGGAGATCAACCCGCTCGAGGCGCGCCGCTCGGGGCGGTGCCCGCTCAGCCCCTCGGAGGTGGGCCTAACTCTGCGCGCGCTCGGCTTCGGGCGCGATACAGTGATTTACTTGGCCTCGGGGGAGCTCTTTGGCGGACCGGACGCGCTGGCTCCGCTTAGAGAGCAGTTCCCCAACCTAGTTACCAAGGTGAGGCTACCAGCAGTGTGAATGGCCCTCGGACTCACGGTGCTTTGCGACACAAATACTAATTAGAGCAGTGACATGGAGCAAATGGGCGAGCGACCATGTGACGGCAGTGCTCCTCACGGCCGGGTTGTTTGCTCTTTTTATCCTCAGCGTTGTCCGATCGCACTGGAGCCAATGAAATGTGGAGCGCGCTGATTGCTCGGCGTCTTGATCAGCTCCAGCACAGGGCTCTGGGATCCCTGGCTACTATTTCTGCTGCACATTAAGTCTGTTTGACCAGAACCGCTGGCTCAGCACCTCTAGTGAGAATCCGAATCTGGTTGCATGGTGAAAAGTTGTCGTGCGTCTCCAGGAGTCGCTGGTCCCGCCGGCGCAGCTGACCGCCCTGCAAGCCCACTTGAATCAATGGGCCGCAGTGGACTACGTCATCAGTGTTGCAAGTGACGTCTTCGTCGCAACCTTCTCGGGCAACATGGCGAAAGCTGTGCGAGGGCACCGACGATTCTCGGGGCATAGGAAAACAATACATCTGCAAGGAAAGGAGCTGATTCCGGTCTTGGACGAGTTCGCTGCCGGGAACGTTGACGTTGCCACGTGTTGGCAGCAGCTGGCGGCGGCTCAGGGCAGCGACTCTGGGCAGGCGCGGGTGCGAGCCAAGGGCTTGAAAGACGAGGGGATGAGCAGACAGGAGGCGAGGAAAGGCGAGGAGTACTTTTATGCGAACCCCCTTCCCGAGTGCCTGTGTGCCGCTGTAGAAAAGCGCGAACAAACGTTGACGAGAGTCGTTCTATGAATACGTGCGCGCATGTCGAGCGTACGCATTCTTGCAGCAGGGCCTCAAATCATGGTGATTTGAAGGGCATGTATTAATGTCATAAACGCGAACGCGAAGGGTGATGCCACAGTGCCTGATACGCATCAAGTTGCGCAGATGTCATGACCCAGGTTCGTTGACGAATCGTCGGTTGGATCTGATGGTCACTTTACCCCGGTACTGTACTGGCATGACTGTCATTAATCAAAGTGGGCCTCGGTATGATGCTTGACGGACGTACACATGCAGGGGTCCCCATACCGAGCGACTATTAAAGTCAATATCGATTCAGACATAAGGACAGTCTATTCGCTCCATTGGACTCACCAGACGTGAAATTTGTCGCTGACAGTGCAACACATTGAAATCCACAGTTTGAGCCCATGTCACAAACCCCCTTGAAATTCCTTCATTAATAGATTTCCCAAGACACAACCTGGGCATGCTACTAATAAGTTGGTCAGGCTCGTCGATGATCATCAGCCGGTTTGATAAGCCATAAGAACAAGCGAGGTTGGATCGAGGTGGTCTACGTAACGGTACCTCAAATTCCGTTTTTAACGGTACTATATTGAACACTTGGAAAGCCATCTCCTTCATGAGCTGCGATAGCGGCTCTTGTGCACGTATTGTACTTTTACGCATTGCGAACTCAGGAATTGTGGTTTATACTTCTTGCATACCGTAATCTGTATCGACGGCCGCTGGCTTGCGTTGACTTTTATCGACGGACTATGGCGCTCGGATCGCTGTGGGAACCGACTCAAATTCCGGGCATATCAATAAGCGCCGGGCCAAGGTCCCAAGGAATGGTTGGTGTACACCTTGACACTTGATACCAAGTTACTAACTCTGTCTCACAGTCGTGGTTTAATTGTAGAGCGGCAAATTGCAGCCGGTCGGAGGAGTCTACTGACCAGTGTCTGCTGGGCCCGCCTGCCCGGCCGGGCGGTCCCGAAAGGGGGGCCATCCTCAATGATTAACAGCGGGGTTTGCGGGGCACAAGATTCTAAGAATCTGCTGAGATCACAAGTGACGCTCACACATCGATTCAGCGTCAGCAAAGTGTGACGCAAAGCAAACCCTGAGTGACGCAGGTTCGCACGTCTTGCCATTTGATTGGCTGTGATGAGAAGGAATCCGATACGTGATGCGATCAAGCTTCCGCTGTCTACGCGCAGTGACTCTTTGCACGCGTTGCTGTCGTCACTCGGGAAACCAGCACGTACGGTTTACCTAAAGACCTGTGAGGAATGAGACGTCAGAACTCAGGAGTCAGGACTCGGGAGTCAGGATCGTCACTCCGTGTACCTACCCGCAACCTACAGCTACGGTTTTAACCAACCTAGCTTTGTAGGTACGGTATCCTAGGTGTTGGTGCACCGTAGTACGTACCTACCAGGCATGTATCACTTCGAAGTCGTCTACTGTAGTACATTTTAACCTTACTGTAGTACATTTTAATGCTTGGAAGGTACCTGGAAGAGAAAGTGCCAGCTCAATGGCTGTCGTTTTGAACTGTTCCAGCTTCTCCTACTTTGTCAGACCAAGAAAGGCAGGGAAGGGCAGGAAAGACGGAAAGGAAAAGAAGAGGGGCCAGCGCCTTCGGATGAAGTAGGATAGGTAGTTCAATGATCTTCAAAATTCCTATTTCGAACCAGAAGAACGGAATGCAGAGCGGACTTCTTGCGGGGAAAGATCAGTGTGAGCTGCGTAGCCCCCAGGGTGACGACCTGAGCAAGAGTTGACAGGGCAGGGCTCTTGCCTGTCCAGCAACGAAGGCATCTAGGCAAGGGTCTGTATGGACAGATTTGCCGGCGTCTTCCACACGTTGCCCAGCTTTGCGCAAACCAGCTTGCATGGTTCTAGTCCCTTCTCCTGGAGGCTGACTTCTGAAAAGTTGTTCACGACGTTGAATGCATACTCCTCTGGCCTGTCTGCCAACCAACTGTAAGACAGGGCACTGGAGGTTGCGGCAAACTTAAAGCGGAGGACAGAGCCTCTCCTGAAAGAGGGCAGCAAGATTTGGAACTGCATCGGAGGTGTGCCTCAAAGTCCAAAAGCAATGTGGACAGGGAAGCGTAGCCCTGTAGTTGAGCTTCCCTCAGCAGCCTTCCAGTTGTGTGCTTGATAAGGCTCCTCGATTCATAGGACATGAGAGACGTGCCCGCGTCCTTTTTGAGGCCAAAGACTGAATCAGCCGGGGTCCAGCTGCAAAGCCAGTCCTGCCCCCCTCTGCCCTTTAACAATGCTTAGCCTATTGATCTCAGAGCACAGCCCCCACCTCGAGTTTGTGGTCCCCTTTATTGCAGCAGTGGAGCAGCGGTTCCATGTGCTGATCGCGCACATGGTGGCTGCGGAACGGGCAATGGGGCCTGCTGATGTGGCTCTCGATGTGGGGGGTGGGGGCAGGGGGGGAATGAACCTCTTTGCAACTGCTCTGAGCCCCTTCAAATGGGCGTTCTTAACGTGGGCAGTCTTGGTTCTGGTTCTTTCTGTAATATGGGCTGTATGTCAGCTGAGCAAGTGGTGGAGGTTTTGGGCCCTGGCCTCGACAATTCCCGGCCCCCCTGCTGAGTTGTGGAGGGGCAATCTGAGGGATCTTCAGGCCGCGGGGGGTTGGGTGCACTACACGGCCTTCATCCGGGGCCTGCACAAGGAGTACGGGCCTGTGGTGCGCTTCTGGAAGGGCCGCCAGCTTGTGGTGTCGGTCCATGTGAGTGCGGCGTTGGGGGACTCTCGCAGTCTGCCTCTGTTGACTTCCTAAAGGTTGCAAGTTTACTTTTACTGGAGTGTCCCAAGCAAGTCGCAATGATTTCTGGCATGATCTTGGAAAGTTCCAATTCTCCATCATGCACCTGAAGGTTTCGAGGTTGGGCAATCAAGGCATTTATGATCAGTAGTACCTATGTTGCAAGCCAAGATGGTGATCAGTCAACACTCTGATCAGTATGGTCATCATCATCTTGCAATCGATATACATGACCACCTTGTGAGAGCCATTCTCCTTTTCTACGAGGCCTGCTTTTTGTGGTGTAGAGCCCCCAGGATCAGCCACACTTGTGGTAAAGCACTTTAATCCAATCGAGAGGTGATTCTAGATCCTACGAGCAGTGGTATGGTTCCTACTCTCATATTTGCCCTCTCGCATTTGGTATAGAATAAGGAGTTTAATGGAGTGTATGCGGTTTCGATCAGCGCAGTCAGAGGTCCTGGCAAGGCCAGGGTGGTGTCTAGAACTGCTTTACCTTCAAGGGGCGTTCGATTCCTACCAGGAGGTACAGCTTTTACATTGGTTCCAGAATCCTCAAGTGATCTTGATTCCTGTCAGCCATTTCTGCAGCAAGCTGCTTCCAGCGCTCTATCTGTCTGTGATCACAATTTACAGGGGGCTTTGTATCTCATTTAACCGCACTTCCCTTATGCCCCCTCTTTTCTTCCCCCACAGGAGCCCGCCCACGTGAAGCAGGTATTTGCCCAGGCGACCTCCAACCCTCACGGGGGCAAGCGAAGCGCGCCATTCTTGCCAGCAGCCAGCATCTTCTGGGGGGACCTTCGCGAGGTGAAGGCTCGGCGCTCCTGGCTGGCGCAGCACCTGCGCACCAGCTTCCTGGAGCGAGTGCACCCAGTCTCACTGGCGAGCGTGGCCAAAGTGGTGGAGCGGTGGGGCGCTTCACAAGGGGAGGACATCGACCTCAAGGCTTGTTGCTCGAGCCTGGCGCTGGAGGTGAGGGGATGACAGGTTTTGAAAAGTTGAATGCTGTGAGGAGCTTAAGTGGTGCTCTCCAAGGAGAAGTGTCACTTGCATTCACTGATCTGTGCAGCTAGATTTTGCCCGTTGCCTTTTGAGGGCCCCTTCAAGTGGCAGATTGCAAGAGGTCTGGGATAATGTTCTTTTCAACACGGAGCCCCTCGGCAAAGACACGGGTAATATCTGTTATTGACTCCGGGCGGAAAGCTTTCGACTAGGTCCTGACCTAGAGGGGGTGCAAAGAAAGGTTGGATTGTTAAAGATCTCGTGAAACTTCGTTCTTGTTCTCGTTGTACTTGTGGCCGTTTTGCTGGTTCAACTTATTCATCACCAGGATGTACTGCTATTCAAGATTTGCGAACACTCATCCTCGCTCTGGTTGGATCTGCCTTGGCCTTCTCTATGTCGCTGCGACTGCTCATTGTCTTGAAGGCTTTCTCTACTTGCTGTTGCAAGATTCGCACACATGCTGCCCTGTCTGTGCAGATCATTGGCTCCGTTGCTTTTGGAGAGGACACGTGGGCACTGCCGATATGCCGCGAATTTGAGCGACTGTTCGTATCGACCCCACGAGAGTCTGCCGTGTTTGCCTCCCACGTGGTCGACCCCTGGTGGGACGCGCGCTACCGGGCGTTGCGCCGCGACTGCCGCCGACTGACCGAGATCGCAGAGGAACTGCTCCAAACGAAAGAGGCGGCGTTACGAGCACCGGCGATTGGGACGGGGGCCCCTGACCTGAGCAGTGACTTTCTGGGGTCCCTGCTGAGTGCGAAGGACAGGACGAGCGGGGAACTGCTCTACACACGCGAGCAGGTCAGTCTAGGTGCAGTGCGGAGCGGTTGACAATGACTCTGCAGGGCTCTTGAATGTGTTGAATGCAATCCAGAGCAGGTTCTCATATCAATTGGCAGTCCTTTGCGTCACAATTCCGTTATCGAATGGCGCAGAGTGACAAGCGGACAGCTTTGTGTCCAATTTACTTCTCATCCGGAGGTGAAGAATGTAGACTGATGGTATGTAAAGCCCTGACATGTCGTTACTTCTTTCCTGCGCGCAGGCGAAGGCCCAGGTGGTGGGAACCATGTTTGCAGGCAACCACACGACGGGCACGTCCCTCATGTGGATCCTGCTGCGCCTCGCGCAGTACCCGGCCGTGCAGGCCAAAGTGTACGCCGAGATCGCGCACTGCTGCACGAGCAGCCCCCCCTCCGAGGCGGACGTCCGTCGCCTGCAGTACTTGCCCGCGGTCATCCACGAGTCCCTTCGGCTGGCGCCTGTTAACGTGACCAAGTCGCGCGTCAGCAGCGCGCGCGACCTGGTCGTGGGGGGCCACGTCATCCCCCGGGGAACCGCAATTGCGGCGCCCGTGGAGAGCCTCAACCGGGACCCGGCGGCCTGGGGCTGCGACGCCGACGAGTTTCGTCCCGAGCGCTTCTTGAGGAAAAGCGCGCCCGAGCCCCGACTTTTTGAGACAAATTCTGCACAGGTGACCGGGTCATCTGGGGGATGTCCCTTCTCGAGCATGGCGTGCGCACAAGTGGCCGACTGTCCGGTTATGGGTTCCTCCGGGGGGGATCCCTCGGCGGACGCGAGTTTCATCGACCCGGGTTCGTCGCCCTCGTTCATGACCTTTGGGCGGGGCGCACGCGCGTGCTTGGGGCGCGCCTTCTCCATCGTCGAGCAGAAGGTGGTGATTGCGACGCTCGTGCAGCGCTTCGAGCTGCGGCTGGCGCGCAGCCAGGCAGACGGCCGGTTCTCGCACGCACTGGACAATCTGCTGATACAACCCAGCCCGAGCCCGCTGCTCCGTGTTTCGATCAGAAACGGTCACTAGCCGGCCGTTAGCCAGCCAAGCCGAAGGGGTGGGGTCCCTGTATGTAGCAGATTAGCAATGATCAAAGGGCGCGGTCGGTAGACGACTCGAACCGAGGGCGGTAAGATTTATCTGGTGGCGCCAGATGTCTGGGGCAGTTTCAGTTTGACGTGGGGTAGACTCCGGGTGTGGCAATGCGGACCAGCCTTTACTGTACATGTTTAGGTGTCTGGGTAGGTATTGGTAAGCCATGGCATGGCTGTTTTGTCTTCTGCTCATTAGCAATTCGCCAGCTGGCGGTGATTGTAGTTGTTAACGTACATAAACGTCAAATGATCAAGAGTTGAAAGCTGCGAGACCGTCCTCAAAAGCCTATTGATCGGAGCTAGTTTCTTTGTGCCTACAGAGGTGGGTCTCATCTGAGAAGAAGAATAAGCGTAGGTGTTTGGAGGCGGCCAAGATCCTGTAAGGACCTAGTCAAAGGCACTGCATCAACCGAGGGTTCGTCTGTCATGACCTCAGACGTCATGTCCGACACCCTAGGTGCTTATTTAATGAGGTGTAGGGCGGCTGATTGAGCATATTGCAATTGGACCGGTTTGTAGTCAAATTTAAGGGTGCATGGTCTGGCCTATACTGTACAAACGAAACTCTCGGATTGGGCGCAAACAGACACTTCGTTTTTGAGTTTCCCAACAACAGGCGGAAGCATATCGAGTGTCTAGGTGAGCTGACCCATGGAACAACTTATCATGCCCTGCGAACTTATCCTGGCGCTTACCAGGGTTGTCTAAGGCTTCGGATCATCATGGTACGCTCATTTTGCAGCATTTCATCATACTCAACCGCGTCATGCATGATGCACATGTCACGCAATGAGGGCCCTGAGCCGCATACTTGCATGACGATGTCTCGAGCATGTCATGATCGCTAGCCGGGCATGCACTGCAAAACGCTGCAGGGCCTAGCTGGCGCATCGTTTAGAGTCTGACGTACAATTGAGAACATCAATTTCAATTGTTCTCTTTTCAAACGCCGTAGCCACATGGGCCATAGGCTTCCATGGCATACATGGCAATTGTTTGGGTCTTGAACGTCTAGCTACCTAACCAAATCAAAGTGCGTACACTGAATTAGTCACCGAACCTAGTCTAACAACAGCTTACCGGATTACAACTAAACTTGCCAGTGGCGTGCTAGTCAAAGCAACCGTGACTCCGCTAGCTACTTGTCGCCTCCGGGCAATCTGTTGGAACTAGGATTCGCACTAATCAGCGGGCAACAATCCGATCTTGGTAGGGATGTAGACCGCAGAGAGGCGCAGAAGCAATTGCAGTGTATCATTGATTGTTGTAGTACATTGTAGACGTTAGATCGCAGACACCTAGATTCCATTTTTGGTACACGTACGCGATACATTGGAAGTTAACATACATGAGCAGCCGAGTTATAGTGAAATGTGAAATGTCTTTCATGTATGTGCAACAGAGACGCACGCGGCACGCGGTATACAGCTCTAGATACTCGATCGTATATGATCTCAACACTCAACAAAAATGTCGACATGAGCCTGTTGCGTGAATGGTCGAATTTACCAATTGGACTAGTGCAGTGCACATGACTCGCAACCCCCACTGGCTGCACCGCACTGATGTGCATGGCAAGTTGCATGCCGCAAGGAATCAGGAAATTAAATTCACGCACCGACGTCATGCGATGCGCAACTCAGCAACTTGAGCATGTAATCAACTCCAAGTCTAGATGCAGCTCGAGTCCAAGCGCACATGCACACAATCAACGTACAACTTTACCGAGTTGATTACTCTCCGGCGGTAATTTTCGCTATGTGCATGGAAGCCGCCTGGCTAGCTTGTTACAATGAGCCAGCACCTCGTAGTGCTGAGCAGCGATAAAAAAGACTGCAAGTAGATAACTTCGGTGTTTCCTTTCTTGCCCCATAGTTGCATGATCACATCCACGCCGAAGGCTCCCAATTTGCAACAAACAGCCCTGTGTCTGACCACATGCAATGATCTGGAATGAGGTACAAAAGGAAGGTGGTCGAATCTGCTCTAGTACAATGTCAGCATACAACATCGAGATAAGCAAAAATGAGCACAAGAATGTACAAGTTGACGAAGTGACGTACGTAATATGCTACCTTGTGGGTTACACCTAAAGTACACTGGACTCCCATGCGAGAAACCATACCGGCCCTACCAGCTCCTCCCGGTAGGAGCTGCTCCCCCTGACCGCGTCATGAGTGTGTCCAACACAATGTTGAGGTCCACTGACTTGCCGGTCTCGGTGAGCTGCCTCACGATGCTGCGAACCTCGTCTTTGTGGAATCCCATTGCGGCCACGTCGTCAATCACCTGCCAACAGCGAAGGACGCAAGTCTTAGTGGGCTTCCAGATTGCCACACCTAATCCTCTAGTGCTGAAGCAGAGTCTATGAAGGTGTCCACATACAAGGAAACATCTAGGAAAACTGGGAGAGCCGACAAGGAGCCTGAAGGGAAAATTTGAACCAGGTCCGCCTTACCTGCTCGATGGGCATCTTGCTCGTGCTCAGCTGCGCTGGTCCACCGGAGCCAGCTGTCCGAGGTGGTTCTGAAGACTGCACGGGCTGAGCCATCTGCAAGCGGGGATATGTCCCGGGCGCAGGCGGAGGCCCCCCTGCACCATACTGAGGAGGAGGGCCGTATGGGGATGCTGGCACTCGAGGCTCGTACCCGGATTGCCGATCGTAGTTCGGAGGGGGCGGCCGCTCGAAGGGAGGCGGGGCCTGGCGCTCATATCCGGATGTGGGGGGACGATCATAGCTGGCGCTCGGAGGGCGGTCGTACCCCCCCGTCGACCCGGGCCGTTCACTATAGCCCTGGGGTGGCGGGGGGCCGTAGCTGCCAGGGGGCGGCGGAAGGGCTAGCCGGCCACCTGCAGGAGTGCTCAGTCAGCAACAACTTCTATCCGCTGGTTGAGGAGCTGACACACACCACTTTAGGCAAGAAATACTCAAGCTGGGTGTGAAGTCCAGCACATTCTCCATGCAAGCTTTAACCTACAGTGCAGAATTTGGGTGCGCAATCGAGTGAATCGCGTGCCTTGTTGGGACAGATTACCTAGAAGGCCAGTGATCATTCAAAACCCAGCGGTGATTAACGCCAGTAGCAAAAGATAGCTCCAAGTCGGGGTCACGAGACAACCTCTTACCAAGACTTGTGTCAGCCTTATGGACACTCATTTTTTTGGCAATATACTGCTTCGCAGAAGAATGGTGCCAACTCTTCCGCGACGGATGTCGTCCGAAATTTGGAACAATGAAAACCAAGCCTCCACGATGTGCATCAATCTCCAAACCACTGCCTACCTGGGTGTGGTGCTCCCTGCGGGGGTGCGCCTTCGTAGCCCTGTCGAGGGGGTCCCTGCTGCGGCTGCGGCGGAGGAGGCGGCATCTGGTGGGGGGGCGCGCCGGCCTGCTGTCCATACCCCTGAGGCAGATACGCGGGCGCCTCTTGCTGCTGCTGGGGAGGGGGCCTCTGCATGTAGGGAGGCGCCTGGGGCCCGTACTGGCGGGGGCGGGGGGCAGGCCCGCTCGGCCCCTGCGGTTGCTGGGGCTGCTGGAGGGACGGGGGGCGGAGGGGGGGCACGTAGCCGGGGGCTGCTGCGGCATGTAAGCAGGGGGTTGCGAATAGTTTGGCTGCTGCGGTGGGGCCCTTG